ATATTTGGTAAATTTGGATTATACACTAGAAACATAACAGTCATATAGAGTTAAAGTTGCCAAACCGGTGAAGCAAAAAGAATATTTTCTCAGGAAAAAAAAAAAAAAAAAAAAAGAAAAGAAAAAACTAAGAAACAAAGGATGAAAACTAAGTAATTACCAGATTTTTTAGGAGTTCGCATCCTAATCCTCCTGCTCCAATTACTAGTACTTTACATGTGTTTAACAAAAATTCAAGAGCCTGCAGAAAACACAAAACACGAAAATTAATACTCTGAATAGGAAAAGTATGATTTGTCCTTTGCTTCATAAAACTTACAATAACATGTTTATAAGGCTTAACTGTCTAATAAGCTTCACATTAAACGACTTGTATCAATAAAGCACTTTGTGATTGCAGGACTAATTAGATGCTGGATTTCAATTAGTTGCTTAGTTATGCAGTTCCTATACCCCAACTGAAGAAAAGGGACATCTCTGTTTATATTTTATTTATATTAATTTTTACCATGAAAACACCAAGGTCTCCCTTTATCATTATAATTCAGTTCAAAAAGAGACTGTTTCTCTCTACAGGAATTTTGCTGATGTACATTACAAAATAAAAGTGTAACAGACAAAAAAAAAACACTATCAACCATAAAAAATTGAGAATTCTTAACCAGATAACTCCCTTCTGCAAACTGTTCTACCAGACCTCAAGTTCAAATTCGTAAATACCAGAAGAGGGTCTTAAAAAGTTAACAGTAAAATATCTTCAACTCTAAACTCTGCAACAATAAATAAATAAATAGAGCAAAGCAGAAGAAATTATTAAAAAACAGTGTATTTTACTAACCACCCTTCCAAATTCCATAGGCATTCATATTAGGCATACTGTAGTCTTAATTCCTTCTCTATCTATAAGAAACTCCTCATTTTGTCCACTTTCTCCAAAATTGAGAGAAATGCTTTTTTCAATATGGACACAGAAATGCTTCTATTTTTAATAGGGACRCACAAGACAGAGCATAATACACATGTTCAATGTAGATACACGATGAGAGATAGCTTGTAGATGACAGTGCACAATTAAGAAATACAAGCTTATACMCCGAGTACAATATGTTCTTCCAGAATCTCAATCCATCTCAATGGATTGATTAAAATATATGCTTTTCATGCAGTTCTAGTAATCATACATTGCTGATGGTCAATTAATGAAACTGTTTACATTAGTTTGCAACATACGCTATGAACTTTTTATTTAAAATAAGTGTTTCTCACTTGAGTGCCTGGCTCGAAATCAGGATGTGTGAATGGTCCAGATCGCTCCAGGAACTTCTTTACATGGTTCCAGCGACCTTCCCAGTCTCCAGTGTCCCCACACCCACCATCAACAGCCATTCTGCACAGAACATAGTAAATTCAGCTGCAAAATCATAGAGAAAAAGCCACACCTCTAAAATGTACTTTTATCTTCATACATAATGTTAAAAATACTTTGACCATTCCTGCAAAAGCACTTGCATATTCTTTATGCATGTTTATGGGCATAAACATATGCATGAATGAGATTTCTTTGTGCAGTTAGAAAGCGGTAATATAAACACACACAGAAACCAAAAACTGACACTTCAATAAGTTCCTCTAATTTAGCTGCGACTAGCGAAAGTTGACCTGAAGTGGAAAAAAATAATTTACTCTTTTTACTTTAATTTCCCTCATATTTAAAAAGGGCACAGAAAAGGAGATTGTTCCTTTAGAGGCTGCTGGTTTGTTTCCTGCAGTATCAAGGCTTGTATTCCTTTTTTGACAGACTTTAGAGTTCACAGTTTATATGGATGTAACTGTAATTGTGAAGCACTGAATAAACAACACGCCCCAGCATTGTCTAGTCTCATTCTCCAAAACACATCTAAATGAGTGTTACCAAAAAGAAATTTWAAAAAAAGTCTTGAATGCTCTTTACCCTCAATAATGAGGATTTACCTTTAGTACCATTTAGTKTAGAAAATTTCTACTTTACAGTTATCTCCTGAGCCTACCAACACTAGTAATCTGAATTAAAGAAGGATGTTTGCAATTATCTTCTTTTATATTTTAAAGACATGCTWTTTCATCAAATACTCCACTTCCTTTTTTTTCTCCTTTTGCAGGTCAGTTTTAATAGCTCATAACTATATMTATATAAGACTGCCAAGAGATTTAAATAGTTCCAAACTAGCTAACTCCTAAGTTTTTCTAACGTTAAGATAATCTATAGCAAGTTTACTTTAAGACTTCCCTTTTCAAATAGGGGCTTCACTCAGTTGAAATGATTACGTTTTCTGTTAATAAAAAACTAAGCTCATTATAAAAGACCTTTGGAATCCTCAGTATGAAAGACTGTCATCATTGATAAGAAGTCTTATATACTTTCTCCTATGAGAAATAATAAGAATGCTTAATGTCAATAATTCTTGTTGAGCTCRAATTTATTGCTACTTCCTCTTGTTTCATCTCAAAATAGAAAGCAAATCCAATCAAAACATCAAAATGGTTCTCAGGGAACTCAGACAATGAGCAACAAACTGTGTCCTTAGTGACTTTAATGTACAGGCAGTAATTTCACAACAGATGATCAAAAACAGTAAAAAAAAAATCACCGAAGATATAAATTGCTTTATAATCTGCCTGTATTTTGATTGCAGCCTGAGCACATTCCTGGCTAGCTGCTGACTTCAGGTAAGTTAACAGTTCAATGAAATCTAAAGAGTTTATTTGATTTCATGCAGGCTGTCTTGATCTCTAGCTTCAACTTTTGCACCTTTCCCAATTTTTACAATTGACATCAAAAATAATTATTTTAGAAAGGTGTATGACCTCTCTCCTCTGAAACCTGAACTCAGATACTGTCTACAGTTTCAGTACATTTAAGCATCAAAAAATGGCTTATACAAACAAAATGGGTCGAAATACTTCAAAGTAATTGCTTGTATGGATTCTATTACACTTTGTAAATTGTTCTGGAAACAAGCTCTGAAGTGATTCTTGGTGATGCTATGAACCAACTTTTTCTGCTTTTATATTGTCTATAATAAACACCCATTAACCAGCAGCACTCTTTCTCTGTTCAAATGAGTATTTTTCTTTTCATATATAAGTCCGTAAGATTTAGTTTACTTTTGTAATTATTCTATAGATTAGTTTTTATGAGGTTGGACAATTTGGAGATCTGAAAAAAGCATCAATAACTCAATCTGAGACTTCAGGTTTCACTTTAGACACGGTTTCTAAAGTGTTTCATTTGGAATATTGATACATCTGTACGGGGCACTTGCATTATAGAGCACCTTACAGACACCTTACTTATTTTCCCTAAATTACTTTGATTTTAAAATCRAAAACTTTGTGAGTGTTGGCGTAGCAAGGCCCTTACGCGGGTTTAGGCCCCCAAACCTTTTCCTGCCCTTCACATCACCAGAGCTCCGTGCTTTTGAGGGACTTGGCATGCACCCCTCACCCCGACATGCCCAGGGGTTCGTTACGCTCACCCCAAACCTGCTCAGTGATTTGGGGGAAGAGGGCCACAGGTAGTGCAGGGAAGCGTTACGGGGGAGATGAGGTTAAAGATTTCAGCGTGTTGTCATTGCGATCGTGTTTTTAAGGGTGTTAGGACAGAGGCAGAGCTCAGGGGCGCACCAAGCGCAAGCAGCGGCCCCGCAGCCCGGCGTTTTGAACCTGCAGCTCCTGCCAGCCAAGCCGCGAGCCCCGGGCGCCCTCCCCGCTCCGCTCGGGCCGAGCCCCTCGTCCCTCTCCCCGGCAGCTCCCTCGTCCCCGGGCCTCGCCGCTCGGGTCGGAGGGGAGGCCGCTCCGAGCCCGGCGCCGCCTCCCTCCGTCCCGCCCCGCACGTCGCTGCGGAGGCTGCGGCCTCGCCGTGACCCACGGGCCGCCCCGCGCGCCCGCCACTAACCCATCCGCCAGCAGCTCCTCTAGCCTCCTTCTTTTCTTCTCCCTAAAAGAGAGAGAATAAAAGAAGGGTCAGTCCCGCGCCACAGACGCCGGGGAGGAGGGAGAGGGGGCCCCAGGGCCCGCCCGCGCCCGGGGAGCGGGGCGACGGCCGCGGCCGAGCGCGCACATACAGGGCACTTACGGTTCCTCACCATCCGCCATAGCTCCCTCTGCTTCCCACAATGCACCTCTGTGGGCGGCGGTTGGCTGGGGCGGCACCATAGAGGCGCCGGGAGGGGGGCGCGGAGCGGCGCCCGCAGGGATAGTCTCCATGGCAACCGGAGGGATAGTCTCCATGGCAACCGGAGGGCCGCTGCGGCTGCTGCTCCCCCCCCACCCCCGGCCGCCATCACGGGGGCCGCCATCATGTTCAGGCCCGGCTCCCTCGAGGGCCAGAGCCGCAGCGGCCGCGGCGGGGACCCCTGAGTGCGGGGTGCGCACGTACACACACACACACACCAGGGCCCCTCTGCGCTTCCCCGTGAGCCCACACAGCCACTGATGTTGCACAAGCCCCTAAGGAGGACGAGGCACGGAGCCCTGGTGCAACGAGTGCCTCTCACTCTCCCAAGCCAGGCGGCTGCTACCCAGAGGCCGGGTGTTCAAGTGCTTTCCGATAAGGAAGTGTGGCAGGTYCTTAATGATTGCGGCTTCAGGGCGCTCAGGCTGCCCCAACCCCAGCGTGGGCGCCGAGGTGGAGGCAGCCGCTGTGCCACTTGCCGCCACCAGCCTCCATTTTGTGCCGGGACTCTGCGCCCTGCCGCACAACAAGGCACCTGGCACCAGGTCACAGAACCGGGTCTGAATTTAGCGCAGCGACTGGAATTACCAGAGCACGCCCTACATTCCCCCTCCCCTGCATCCAACCTAGCGCCGCTCCCCCGTGCGCTCCTTWAATCCCGCAGATCAGGGGACTAGGAAAAACGCGCCCGCCCGCAGCACCGCGCCCGCCGGCGCCGCCGCCAACCAGCGAGCCGCGCGGGGCGGCGCCGCGGCCGCGCTCTTGGTGCGCGCGGCGCCGCCGCAGCCGCGGCGGGGAGGGCGGCGGCGCTGGCGGCCATGGAGGTGCAGGTGGCGCCGCTGCGGGCCTGGGACGACTTCTTCCCCGGCTCGGACCGCTTCGCGCGGCCCGACTTCAAGGACATCTCCAAGTGGAACAACAGGGTGGTCAGCAACCTCCTCTACTACCAGACCAACTACCTGATGGTGGCCGCCACCGTCGTCTCCATCGTGGGGTCAGTGGAGCYGCGGGCGCTGAGGGGAAGCGGGGGTTTTGGGGCGCCTCGAGGGGACCTTGTGGGGTCTGAGGGCCATGGGGGGTCTAGGGGGACCTTGTGGGGTCGAAAGGCCATGGCGGATTCCGAGAGGGGGAGGCGCTTTTTGCCATCCTCCTCATGGAGAGTGCGCTGAGAGCAACGCCCTGCTTGTGCCATTTGTTTACGTATTTATTTATTTATCTATTCCTTCTGTATTTCCCTTTCTTCCAGTTTTTAGATCACTGAGCATTCCTAGCAGGCTTTGTTTGTTTTTCTTGGGGGTGGGGGTGCTAGCAGATCTAAGAACGATATTCCCTCCCAGGCTGCTCAATAGGGCTCCAGGTACCCAGGGTTTTGCTTTGCTCATTTATTTTTATTATTTATTTCCATCAATTGTTCTCATATTTTCCCGAAGGGAAGGCACAGGCGGCGATGGCGGTAAGTGCTGAGAAGCTAAAGAGCATCATCCTCCGCAGGGGCCTAACGCTCCCTGCTAAAACCTGTCACCTGCCGCTGGACGCGCTGAGATAAACTGCGCTCTACACTAAAACGGGATCGTTTTGATTTTATAGCTTTGTGTTTATCCAAAGGAGACAGTGTCAGCTTCTTTTACTGCTGTCCTAACTTATACTGGAGAGCCTTAAGTATAAAGCACATTAGGAAACCTCCTCATGGACAACATGCTGGTAGTTTGCTTTCATCAGGCTCAGTTTTCCTAAAGAGAATTGGGAAATAGCTTTTTAACCTCCTTTTGAATTAAGGCCTATATGACCTTTATTTGTTTRTTTTTTGACCCAGCATTTTAAGCAAGAGATGCAGCAGAGGTTGTTGTGATCAAGCTTTTAATATGGATGCAGGAATATATTTTCTTTGCTCTCCACAATAGGCAAATGCTTAAATTGGAGGCACTAGGTTGAACTGGCTTTGGCGGCAGAGTGTCTTATCTTGTCTGCTGCAAAGGCTTAAAATTCTCTTTCTAAATCTGATTGTGTTGTTGTTTTTATTAAACAAGTTGTATCTGGTTAGAGCTTTTGAAGTGATTAACACAGGTTCTCAGTTAGGAAACTTTATGTTGCAAAGAATTTTGGGCTATGTTTTGTGAAAGGAAGGCCCCTCTATACTGCATTTTCTTCCTGTTTTTGGTGGAGTGTTGTGTAGTAAACTTGCTAGAGTGGTAAAATGTGACTTCTCTTGGCATTCCTGTGCTGCTGTGGTTAAATTCCTGTGTTCATCATCCCTCGTTTAGCAGCGCGGTGTTGTAGCCAAGTCTAAATGACTAGGCAAATCAAAGTGGAAAGGAAAGCAAGGAAAAAACGAAACTCCAAAAGAGAGATGAGGGGGGAAGAGAGTTTTGATACCTCTGGCTGGRAAACGGAAATCGGAAACAACTCTTAATTTCCTAAATTCCTTTCCCCTTCTGTACTTTCATTGCTCCTGCTCACATCAAGCATGATGCCTCTCCCACTTTCTTCAGGCTCAGTGTTTCTATTTCGCTTGGAGCAAGGGAGGGAAAGGAAGGAGGAAGGGCCTTGCAGATCACAATATGAGAACAACTATCCTCTTAATTTTGAGTAACCCACTGAGTTAAAAATTCTGGACAAGGAACAGATGGATTGGGATTTTTTTTTTTTTTTTTTTAGTTGTACCTCTTGTAGGCCTTGATCTCATTACAAATCCGTGTCTTCTAACCTTGAGGTAAAAGGAAAAGGGTGAAGAACCCTGAAGGCAACAGTGTAACTCTGAAAATGAAACTGTCCTTTGAACAGTGTAACTCTTCAATTGGGGAAAAACTATCCACTTCTAGCAAACAGTTTCCACTTGGCAACTTTGCAGCTCTGGGAGAAAGGCAAAGAGAGGTCTCCTGGTAAATTTATATTGATGACTAAATTGCAACCTTGTTTCATTCTGTCCTGCACAGGAATCCCCGAGTGATACATGGTGAATCATGGCTTTTTAGGAACTCGAGAGCATCATGTGGGCCTGGAGGCAGGATTATGCAAACAGCCAATGCAGGGGTCATTCTGTGATCAAAACTAAACTTAGCTCACAACCAACTCTACCTGCTCTTAAACCATCTAATTAGAAAGCCAGGTGCAGAGATAACAACACTTAAGCTATAGCTTCCATTCACTGCCTCTTGTACACGTTAAAAAAAAAAAAAAAAAAGTAGACTCTCCAACCTTTTACCATTTCTTTACAGGGTATGGAGTAACCTTACCATGCACATAATGGCATCTACTGCATGGGTCCCTCGTCTTCTCCTCCAGCTGCTTTTTCCTATAGCTATTGTTACATGTAAATGATGTTCAGTGCTTGGCCATCATGTATCTTGCTTTCARCCTACAGAAGGAACAGGGAATAATGGATCTGTGAGCAAGGAACTAAAACTACCTAATGAATGCTAATCTACTAAAACAGGCTAGTGACGGCAGCCTGGTCTCCTTGCTTCCTAAAAGAATTTATTAAGAATGAGTCAGGGCTCGCATGCTCAATTWTACTGTTACTCTGCTGCAGCTGAAAGAAAAAAAGAAAATTTCTAAGTGAAACTGTGTCCCTCTTCCCAGATGTAGGGACACTGGGGACTGCAGCCCCTTCTTGCCAGGAGGCAAGGCCTTGTCATTGTGAGTGATTTATGTTTTTTGGTGTTTGTTTTGTTTTTAATTAAAAGCAGTGCCTCCCGCATTGTTCTGCCTACCTATAAATAGCAATATATTTAATAGGTGTTGTTTGTCTTTGCTCTCACCCMCTCTTACACCACACATCTGTCTTAGTGTTCAGATTACTTGAATTCATAGGTTATTGCTAGGTAGCTGTTATTGCTAGGTAGTTGCCAAAGATTAATTTTAATCTGATAGTATGCAAAAAGTGCGATGGATTCCAGAGTGCCTCGTATAAGRAACTCTTCACCCTCATGTGACTTAACACCCCTCAGCAGCCCCGAGTCCCCTCTGCTCTAACATCTGCTGCCCTCCCCACCAGCAACCAACAAGGGGGTGTCTCCCCCAGACCTCCACCTTAGCTGACTGACTTGCTGTTAGAGTCCCCTTGCCACACCACACATTCCAGAACAGCAAAATGCTTAGTTTTCCTACTGCCTAATTAAAGAGTACAGAGGAGTGAGCAATGCACAGTGCCCCAAAACGTATGTTGCATGCTACAGAACTGGCAATTTAGCAGAAAGGCATCTGGCTCCCATTCTCAAAGCAATACAAATGAAAGGCTGCCCTTTGAAAACTTTTCATCAGGAAAGTAAAGCAGCACTGCTAAATCTTCAGATGCTGAGGACTGTCACCTAGCTATGACCAGACTTGTTACATCAGGCATTCATATTTTCACATGCTACCATTATTTACAACTGTATTAATTCATTAATAAACTTAAATAATCATATTGAGTTAATCTTCTGAAGTAGAATTTTTTAAGGCTGTGGGTATCCTGTTCTTGCTTTTTACATAGGCCATCCTCTTTCTGAGCTCATGCTGCCAGAGCCTTTTTTCCCCCTATGCTATAGTCATATCTTCTTCAAGTAAACCAGTCATCTCTTCTGCTATATGTGTAGACTTATATGCAGATCTACAAAATAATCTACCAAAAACAGTCAGTGTGGTAAGTCACTACGAGTCCAGGTTTAGGAATTTTCCTCTAAGCTGTTCAGTGAAACATGTAGGACAGAGTCTAGAAATGTGAATCCTGTTTAAAAAAAAAAAAAAAAAAAAAAAAAAAAAAAGCCTATCTCATCTTCAACTATTTTTGCCGGTCAGAGGTATCTGCTTAGCTGCCAGTGCTTACTCCCACACACAGCTACGCTCCGAGCTGCTGGGATCTCTGCTCTTCTTGGATATTGTCCCAACAAATACCGAGTCACACAGTTATATCCAGCACAGGACAGTGCCTGTGGCTCTGCTGCCCTTCATCAGCCTGAAGTCAGGCAAATTGCTTTYGTGTTGTTATTTCTTTTTCTATCTTTTCTTTATATGGAAGCAAATGTTGAGGCAAATGCTGTCTCTGAAGGGCAGCAGCACAGCTGCAAGTGGCTGGTACAGCCCTGAGGCAAAGCTGTAGTGATGGCCCTATCCAATTGATCTGTCCCAAGTGCACTGCAGGTTGCAGCATCCTATTTTGGGTGTTTCTGCTTACCCCAGAGAGCAATGCAGCATCCAGAAAGGTTGTGCCATCTGTTCTGGGCTCTTGTCACCTCTACACAGAGTTTAGTCCTGCTGTTCTGGCTTCTTTTAGGCTAGTGAGAACCAGTTGTCTGTCTTCCAACTTCCCATGGGCTTTTTTCCCTTCAAGTCATCTGAGCAGCATGAATTCAAGTTACCACAAACACTGCCATGCTTCTAGGTCGGTGTGTTACATATCTCAATATTTGAGAGGTCCAATAAATCCTTCCTAAAGAAAATTACATTTAGAAAGTGGTTTGTAACATAATTAATGGCTGATCACTTACTTTGTCACTGCAGCTTTGAAAGATTTCCATCCTTCTTGTCTGAGCATGAATTTGACTTATGCTTTTTATTTGGATATAAATATCAATATTAATGGTTCAATTATAAGGTGATTTCCTGTGCTTCTTATGCAGCACTGCTTTTCTCAGACACCAATGATCTGAAACAATTTGCTTTTTTTTTTTTTTCTTTCTAGCGCTTAGCTATTGTGCTGCTGCCAAATGACTGGGATAAAAATGGATAATGAAGGTTTTGCCTTCCTTTCAAATGCCATTGGCAGAGAAGATGTTCTTATGTAGTGATATTTGTTAAAATCTTTGATAGCACTGTGAATTATGCTGCATCTGTGGGCCATTCAAGCAGTAAAGGAGAGCCTGGCACATGAAACACTATCAGGTTACTGTATTCAGGAGCCCTGAAGTCYGTGGACACATGGCTAATAATCCAAATACCAATTCCCAGTGGCAACTGCTATCCCCATCTGTTCCCATGTGGCTCTGAATAACCTCATTTTATACTTCTGTTCACTGTTCTTTGTATGCATTGGAATGCAGCCCACTTCAGAAAACATGTAATTCAATTAACTTTACCCAGGAAAGTGGGATCCTTTGAATTCGTGTGTGTGGGAGAAGTATGGTGTAGTTTCCCCTTCAGGTCCCTTACATCAAGCCAGCAGTGCAGAACCTGCGCAGGAAAGAACCATAGAGCAAATCATTCTTCAGCTCTTTGATTTCAAATCTGGGAATCTTGCTCTTCTCCATTAGTTTCTGAATTCTATAGTAGAGAATGGATGGAGAAGATAAAACTTTGAGAGGAAAACATGTCCSAGTGGAACTTTGTCCTATTTTTCATTCCATCCTGGATGATCTTGTCAGCCATGGGGGATGTGAAACAGAGCTGCTGCAAGTTGTCTGACTGAGYTTGGCCACTTCTGTTCAAAGCTAGCTGGGAAGTGGAGGTGACTCCTGCCTCAAAAATCTTGTTCGTATGGTAGTATTTATACAACTGGACACGAGTGTAGTCCAGTCATGGGTCACCTCTTCCTGCTGCAGGGGAGTGAGGATGAAACCAGGTTCTTTCCAGAGCAACGCTGTTCACTTTTTCCAGCCTGGAAACTTAAGATTGACAGTTGAGAGCTAAATATAACCTGGCTGGCGGCAGGGAGTGACTCAGATGCAAAAAGCAGGGCTGCCCTATCACTGTTTCCCCAAGGCCACCCTGGTGCTCCAGCGTGAGTAGCAGAAGCAGGTGGGGAACCAGCTTGAATTTTAATCTATTTCCATCCAGTTGTCCTGTCTTCTGTTGGCACAATTGRCTTAAAGAATCAAGAGGCTGTATCTGTTTTAAAATAATTCTCTCCCTTCTCTAGGAGAGCAATTCTGGCAGGGCTGGTGTCTGCTTACCAGCCCAGCAACAGATATCATCTGCTTCTGCAGGATGCCAAGCAGAGACCACAAACCATAGCATCCTTTTCAGCAGTGCTGCAGAGCAACGACTCTATTTTATGTTAGCTTTGGGAAAGACCAGCTCTAAAACCTAAAAGAGTAAATCTTGATGACATTTGACTTTATCTGGGCAGCGCTATACTGCTGTGATAGTTGCAGCATCTCAGAGCATAACTGCAATAYGGTTAGACTAGTGTACCTACAAGCATATAGATTCATTCTCATTAAATCATGAGGCTTATTAATGTTTAACTAAAATAGTGGAGCCTGGGTCTCGTGCGAAGTATGTGAATGAGCTAAGTCACAACTGAAAGCTGAGGACAAAACAACCTCTGAAGTACTTGGGAAAGTGGTTTGAGCAGGTGAAGTTCTCACCCTGGCCCCAAAAAAGGGACAAGTGCTGCTGACAGTCCAAAGCTATTCCCACCCAATGTCTGGGTTTACTTGGTAACTCTTACAGCAGTAACAGAACACAAACCTCAACAGTGGCCCTCTTGCTAAACTTGGCTCTCCTCATGCTTCCTGCGAGATCTTTACCCCATGCTACTATTCCCCCTAWCCCTTGAGCAGGGTGTAAACAGGTATAGACACCAAAGAGGGATCRGAGGGATCTTTGCTTGGAAGAGCAAAGTGAAAGTTAAAGAAATAAGGGGTGAAAATCCAGCTTCTATAATCCTTGTTCTCACCTAGTATCTCCTGGAGTTATCACTGTTAGGAAAACCTTCCTAATCCTCTGCCATTGAGATTTGCCAACTCTGAGTCTGAAGTCAAGTGAGCAGATTGAGCAGAGGCAAGAGTTCTGGTTGCAAAGGAAAGAGGTGTTACAGAAACTCATCCTGAGCTATGCTCACAGAGAAAACTAGTAATTAAGGTGCTCAAACATCCTTTTTTTTTTTTTTTTTTGTCTGTTCTCTCTCTTTCCAGATTTCTGAGCCCCCTGAACATGCTTATTGGTGGTACTGTGGTGGTGCTGGTGTTCATGGGCTTTGTGTGGGTGTCGCACAACAAGGATATCCTCCGCAAGCTGAAGAAGCAGTACCCAAGCACCTTCGTAGTGGCCATTATGCTGTCCAGCTACTTCTTGATCTCCTACCTGGGAGACGTCATGGTGTTCATGTTTGGGATCACTCTTCCTCTGCTCTGTAAGTGGTTTCAGCTTCTCTGGAGAGGCTGGGGAGCAGGCTTGAGCCTTCCCAAGCCTGCAATRTCTAAATTAGCTCTTGGTTTTACAGTCTCATTACCTAAATTGTCCTCCCCAAGAAAAATAAATAAATAAATAAAATGGGGGGGGAGGGGGAGAAGGAAGGGAAGAGCACAGAACAACACAAGCTATCTTAAATGATATAACTATTTCAGAGATAAGAAAAGAACATCAAATGGATACTTACAGTTATTTAAGTCGTCATTTGGACTTCAGCTTCTTCAAATGATACTGTGCCTTTTGAAATTCTCTTAAGGTGGATGCTGTAAAAATTACATATTTTTTGGACATTAACAATTAAATAATGCTTTTCTATTATGCAGTGATGTTTGTCCACGCTTCTCTGAGGCTCCGGAACATAAAGAACAAACTGGAGAACAAAATGGAAGGAATTGGTTTGAAGAAGACCCCTATGGGCATCATACTGGATGCTCTAGAACAACAAGAGGAGAGCATCAACAAACTGGCTGACTACATATCTAAAGTGAAGGAATAAACAACTGTAACCTGGTATTTTTTCCTCTTGCAGGAGCGTAGTTGCTATTTACTCTTGTTCAAGCTTGCTTTCAGTTGGTGTACAAAGCAGGGAATGCACATGTGTCACAGATTAATACTTGCAGGATACAGGTATTCAGGGCTCCTCTAAGAATATAAGGAGAGTAACTTTTCTATTGTATAGCAAAATGTTTTGGTGTTTACACAAATACATACTAACTTGAACCTACTTGCTCGTCTCTTCTTGCTGGGGGGGAAGGGGCAGGAGATGGAATCCCTGTGGAACGCAGTTTTTCCAACCATCTTTGCTGCAGACTTGTCTGTTAAAAAGAGGAATGTCCCTTTTGTCCCCAGGCTCCACGATGGCAGTTCAGCCAGTTTACTGCACTATGCAGCACCTTTAAGCTGGCCAACTCCAAGGGGAGCTGGAATGTATCAAAAATAGGCATTTCTTGCATCCCTAAAACCCCTAGCTGAAGTGGTCTGGAGTGGGATCATGGTGTTAGCTCTAGTGCAGACAACGAAACTGCAACTCCTCTCTTGCAATGGTTATGGGCTCTTTTCTCACCTCACATTCCTCCTTTAGCAGACTGAAAGTCTAAATAGATTTAAGCATGAATAGAAATGATACCACACACCTATCATTTCCAGTAAAATGCACCCTTTTCTCTGAAATCTTGATCCTGTTGATATCTGTAGAAAGTGTTCTTGTTCACAGGAGAGCCAGAACTTCTTCACATAACACCTAAACTACAGCTAAACACAGGAAGAAAGAGCATTTGCAGTTAAACTAGACTAGCTATGACTCTAYCCTATAGATGTTTTTAATCACTGCTACTTTAGGACTTAGCTTGTTCTGCTTTAGTCTCTAAGGCTGTTTTGTAGATGAAGGTGTATGTGTGTGTGTGTGTGTGTGGTGACTTTGTGCATGGGTCTCTTTTTTTTTTTCTCTCCATATTGACCAGAATGAAAAGATGTAAGATAAAACATGCATCTTGCCATCTCTTTCTGGCACTATTCAAAGAAATAAACTGGATTTCAGGTTTACAAGTAAAAGCAATAAGTATCAAGATAAAATTTTGGAAACCCATTCCCAATTCATTAAGTATCTCTACCTGCAACAATTCTTGAAAGTGGTATAGGGGATTTTTTTTTTAAATATATATATTTTAGCTGCCAGTTTTGATGGAATTGTCTTGATAAAAGGTACCAAAAAYAAGTGGGGAAATCTCCAGGTGACACTCCATTTCAAATATTCTTGCATTTCTTTTTTACTAATAAAGGAACTGGTTTAATTAATAATAAAGCAACTATCCTAAAATTTGAGGCTTTTATGTAACTACTCATGTTTTTTCATAATGAATTGTGTAGAAATTTGAAAATGTCATTCCATTTAAATGTTATAATGTGATCAGTATTTATTGAAAGTGTCTGTGTATATTCCAGCTAAAGATTCAATTCTTCACTTGTGGCGCATGGTCTTTGTTTTATGAAAACTGTTACCACACCTAGAGAAGGTAGTAGCCTATTACTCAACCATACTGTTGAATTTTAAGAACTGCACAGTTATGAAGAAAAATAAACTCTAATGGTGATTACTGAGTGCATTTGTTTCAGGTTATGAGAAGAGACCRTACCTGAAGTTTGCATGTTCAGTTCCTACTGTTGGTGGAAATATCTATGGTATCATTAGAGGTAGAGTCATACCACAGCTCCTGCCACAAGGTTATGGTGGTGGTGAACTCCTGATTGAGTGCTCTGAGCCCTGCATGCCATAATTTTGGTGGGTGGGAAGCCTCTGTGCTGCAGGAAAATTACTAACTTCTGCATCCTCACAGAGGCTTCCCCCAGAAGGAGAGTCTTTGAGCACTTGTTCTTGCTGCCTCGGTCTTACATAACGAGGATTTTATTTTAATTAAGGTATTGTTAAGTGCCTTAGAGGTATTTCTCCCTGCTTTGGGATTACTGAGAGCCGTGGCTTGAAYGCAGCTATGACATTAGCTTTGTGTTGCAGTCAAGCTGCTGGTGTGGTCTCTATGCCAGGCTGTTTTGGTCCTGTGATTAATTTCCTGCTCAACAAGACTCTGTATTGAACTAGGGCTTAGCAGGGCCTGCTCAAAACACCCTCCGGGTACTTGCCAGGGCTGAAGGCCCAGAACAGGCTCCGCTTTGGGTGGAGCGGTGAGTTGGACTGAGCTGCCCCATTTAGCAATTCTAAAGTATTGCTTGATTCTCACTCCTTCCTTGTCCCACCTGCTTYTTCTCTGCTTCTCAGTTACTCACAGAAGCCAGGAGGGAGAGACTATCCTAGCAGTGCCCTGCAGAGCTGCCTTTTTGCATTCCGTTTAGACAGGAGAAGYTGTCTAAAATACCAGCTTGCTGCCTCTTCTTAAAGGGAGCAGTTCTGTCTTTACACAAAAGAGGCCTGTAAGAAGCGGAGGTGAAGTAAAAACAGTGCTTCCTTTTCACCCTCCCCTTACATGGTGATACTGTCATGTCTTAAAAATTGCTTGCTGAGTTTTAAGCAATCCATCTACTAGGCTGCTGCATGGAAGTTGCAAAGAGAGGTGCAGCAGAGAAGAAGCTTTTAGAAGTTTGGAGGCAATGCTCTAGTGAGGGATTTGAAAGAAACCAGCTTAACAGACACAGAAAGACCAAGGATAAAAGCTTGAGCCAAAGACAGCAGAGAGTCTTGGAAGCGGGGAGGTCTGATAAAGCAGGAATGAAAGCAATATAGTGATACCAAAAACACTGGGGCGGAAAGGAGTGCACAAAACAGCATTAGTCCCAAACGTGACTGAGCTTTAGCTGCCAGAGGAGCGGAAGGAACAAGGAAGCACCCACCTGAAGGCAACAACAAGCTGCAGAGCTGAGCATGCTAGGAGTAACGTGTCAGCTACAAGGTGGCAGGGGATATGCACATTAGCTAAAGGAAAGGCTTTGCTGTGAGGAGGAACACAGGAAACGACATGGTTATGAGACTGTGCAATAYAGCCTGAAATTGCTAAAACAAATAGGTCTTCTGCAGATGCATTCCTCAGAGATGTCGCTTTTCTCGAATTGCCTTAGAAGGGAGGCTTGCAACAACAAGAAAAAGCAATTAAGAAAAATTCACAATATTAAGTAAAACCAAAGCTACACAGAAAGACTACATCTGTCTTAAGGTGTTTAACCAACCATGTCTAGCCCATCTCCCTCCATTGCTAGGGGCAAGACACRCTCTTCACACCCTCCCTGGAAGGAATGCTCAGTTCCTCAAGCCCACCACAGAACGGGTACGAGGCCAGCTGAGCAGCAACGCAGAGAGCGATCTGCTAGGGTGGGTACAACGTGAAGCGGCAGAGAGGATTAAGGTTTACATCAAGGACAGATGCATCATGAGGAACAAACATTACAGCTCTCAGAACAGATCAYGACCTCTTTTATACACTGACCTAGTACAATACCAGCTAGAATGTATTCTGTAATACACGTAGCTTAAAACCATCAGGCCTTTGCACTCAACATCCCATACGTTAAAGTGTCTTCTTGGCTCTAGAGACAGCAGCTCTGCTCTGTAGACCTGTTAGCCACAGAACTGCTGCACACATCTTACGTAGAGAACCTTTATTTCATTTCTGTTTCCTCAGCCTAAAAAATAAAGCTGTTTACACAGAAACCAAATGTATTTCTTATGAACAGGAGAATAAAGCAAGGAGCATGTTGTGGAAAGCAGGATAAGAGAAAGCACAACATGTTCCTGGAGAATGTGAACGTAGAAAGACAACATGGAAGCAGAGTTGTTTACTGACAAACCACACAGATTTAAGGTTATCGATGCCTCTGAGAAAATAACTCCCACAGCAAACTGGAGCCTCCGGTCCATGGGGCAGACAGATGGCACCACGGTCGTTTGGTAGCTGGTGGAAACTCTTAACATGGACATTTCCTGTTACGGCCTTTTCCATCACCCTTACAAAAGTGCATTTTGCAAGCTTTGTTCCCAGAGAGTCACAAACACCACCTGGCTTCTGAAGAAGACATCTGGTGAAACAATTGTAAGCAAACCTTGCACAGTCCTTATTTCAAGGTGTTTTCTTCAGATCTGTCTGGTCTCTTACTCCAACTGCTTTGGCAATGGCACCTAGACAAGGGAAATAAAGRAATATTACAAGGAAAATTCCCAGTCTTATTTCCATACCAGCTTAGGTTAATATATACCTTCAGAAACTACAATATGGTCAAACATATAAAAGCTAAGACCTTGAAGGACTTCAGGTYAGGAATTTATTTTTGTTCACAGTTCCCTACTTGATATTTGCAGGTTAAAAGATTTGGTTGGGTGAAAAAACAATATCAGTAAGCGCATGGCATTTTCTTTATCTTTCTACAAGCTGTAATAACAACTGTTAAGAATCGGCCCATTAAAGACAGTCCACACATTCACCTTTTTATCCCATAGTCTCCCRACCAGGGGGCACCCAGGCTGACAGGGTTTGCAGGGATCTGCCCAGGGGCCACCACGGAGCTCTTACAAAACTCTGCATTTTCTGTGCACAACAGAAAAGAACCAAAACCTCAAACTGAGCAGTCACGGGGAACAGCCATGAGCCATACCCAAGGACACAGAGTTCTGCTCACTCTGCTTTCCACATGCACTCGCTCCCACCCCTTWTTATCTTCTCCAAGTGTCCATGAACCTCAACAAGCACAAGTGCAAAGTACTGACTCTTTTATCTCACCAAGAAGCAAATAAATCCGAGCACCTGGCTGACCTCAGGGATTAACAGACACCAACTACAAGTGGCCGAGCTCTGCAGGCTGCCTACGGACACRGCAAACCCTCATTCCCTCTCTGCCACATCACAGAAACCTGGGATTTGCCTGGAAGCACCTTCTTCTGCTACTGCTTAGCATCCCAGGCAAGAGCCACTGGAAAAGAAAAAAGATCCCAGCTTTTTTCCCAACCCCTCTCTAACTGCTATTTATAAAATCCTGCTGGGGCTTTGAGGACGAGTTAACAAACAGGGAACGGCTGGGATTAACGGCACTGCTCCAAGGCACCTGCTAGCCCARGTCTCCTAATCCTTGCCTTGCTGTGGGCTGTGCTCTGCCCGAAAGCAAGAACACTGTCACCTTCCCTTTCTCTAGGAAAAAGGGAGAGGAAAAGGAATAACAGCAGCAGTGAGAGAGTTTTTCATTGGCAGGAAAGTCTCCTATCCCAGCATGCGAATGCAAGCCCCTTTTTGGGTGAKCTACCAAAAAGCAGCTGTTTGGTTATACCTGCACAAAAGCAGTTCTTTTCCGACAAGGGACTCAAAATACAGAATATATACTGAGATCTAGAAAGACGGGAAGCTGCTTGGAGCCCTGGCTGCAGTTCAACCACTCCTGCCATTAAAACCCAGACAAAAGCAAAAATGATTTGGGGACAGATAGTAGTGTTAAATCTGCATAGGGAGGCAGAGGTCCCTGCAAGGGCCCTCGCTTTAAAGGTTCTGGAAAAAAATCTCTCTCCAAAATTACAGAGCAGATAATTACCTGTGTTTGGACACAAATGAAAGCAAACTGTGACTCATCATCCAAAAAAGTCAGTGTGAAAATGTGAATTATGAAACACAATTTGACCATTTCTATTTGCAAAGGATTTCCTGGCTTCTTTCTGTAGTGTAAGCAACACCACCAGTTGGCTGACATTGCCAGCTTCAAACACATCCCTTGGACACAAGTATTCCTTGGGGAATGGCACAATGCAAGGAAATACAACATTCTGAGAAGTCAAAAGGTTAAATATGGTGACTAACATTTTAAAAAGTGGCTTGTGAGCATCTTAGACCTGCATTTGAGTCGTTGTGAGCTCTTTCATTGAAACATTTATGTGTAAGGGAATGTAAATTCCCTTCAGTAGTTTTACTTTCCTCCTATAATTTTGCTCTATCTTTTTAAACTTTTTAAACTTTAAACTTTTWAAACCCAATTATGGAAAATAAGAACAAAACTTACACCTTTTGCAGCAAATTAGCATATTAGAGGASCAATGATTTCAGCTGAAATATTTTAAGGCAAACATAAAAACATATTACATCCTCAGGTAGCCAAGAAAACACAGCTTTTATCTGTCCTGTAGGGAGAAGTCCAAATGCAACTCATAGGCTCAAATGGGAAAAATATTGCAGTGCGGGTTTTTTCTACATCACTGCTAGGCGGCATAAAGAAAATAACTCTATAAAAATGTATTTTCCTCACACGAAAGCTTAATTTCAGATTAAATTCAGCTTCGTCCTTCCCTGACATCTTTCCTCAGGTTTGCCACAGTGTGTTTTAGGGTGCCAGAGCTGCACAGTGCTGGCCCAGAGCCCTGCCAAGGCCCTGGGAGCCCCAGGAGCTGGGGGCTGGCACAGCTGCCTAGCAGACCGGGGGACCCATTATCCTGCAGACATTTGGATGCTCAAATTATATATTAAGATCTGCATTTTGATAATAAGAATTAGTAAAACAGTTCCTGTTGCTCTCCTGCAACAGCTATTATCACAGTATTTTCATGTCAAAATAATGACTATATTACTACTATTATTAATACTGAATTCCTGTCTACTGCTTGACAGAAATTGGAAATCCCCCTTGGATTTCCTCTCYTTCCCCCATGACTGTGCTGCATAAGGGTTGAAGTTTCCCTCTCGCTCCTCATGTCCACCAGCTTGCTGATCTATTTAGGCAGAGTTTATCGTTTCCCTCGGGGTGGTGGGATCATGCAGAAGGTCTCAGTGCCGGGACAGCGGTCACCGCCTGCAGTCCTTAGCACCCAGCGTRTTGCTCGTCTTGGAGGCGGCGATGGGCTGGTGTGGAGCTGGGTGCCTCAGCAAGGCGGAACCCCCAGCCCGCCGCTCTCCACACCTACCGGTTTCAGGTAAGCCACGTTGCTCTGMCGGATGTCGTTGAGGAGCTGATCCCTCGGCGTGATTTCCACGAGCGGTGGCGGCCTCCTCCGGGGGATCGGCTTGAGCGTCTTGATGACGTCCTTGAGGTTGGTTTTCTCGGCGGGCTCCACGTACTCGGGCACGGCCGGCTTGCGCTGCGTCTTCTTGAGCTTGACCACGCGGAAGGAGACRGGCTGCGCGGCGGGCGGCGGGGCGGGCGCCGGCGGCCCCGCGCTCTCCTTCCTCTTGCTCGGCGACACCGCGGTGGGAGCGGGCGGCCTGGGCGCCGGTGGAGGCTCCTGTGGCATCGCCTGCGGCATCGGGCCCCCCAGCATCTCCCACATGCCCGGCGGCAGCCCCAGTCCGTTCTCCAGCATGGTTATGAGCTCCCGCTGCTCCTTCATCTGCTGCTGGCGCTGCTCCTGGTGCCTCTTCTGCCGCTGCTTGTCCAGGTTCCTGCTCAGCAGGTTGGTGACCACCATGCGGGGCCCGGGCAGCTCGAAGTGGTAGCCCATCTTGAGCAGCGTGGGGTTGGCCTTCAGCAGCCGCGCGATCTCCATCTCGGCCTGGTGGCCCAGCAGGCTGCGCTGGTTGTGGAAGCGCAGCTCCGTGAGGCTCTCGTTGTACTGCAGGCACCTCATGATGGCCACGATGCCCTTGCCCGAGATGAAGTTGGAGTCGATGTTCAAGGTGGCGATGCTCCGGTTTTCGCGCAGCATGTTGGCCAGCGCAAAGGCAACGTTGTCGTCGGCGCCCACGTTGGCCAGACTGAACGTCTTGACGTTCTTGTTCTTCTTCATGGCGTTTACAAAGTCTATCAGCATTTCTTTGGGGATGTTTTCGATGTTGTTCAGGTTGACCTCTTTCACGTCCGGGTTGTTTTTGCGGACTTTCTCCAAACTCTCCTCTAAATTGGTTTGATTTCCTGAGGGTCTGGCACTCAGCTTTATGAAGCTAGCATCCAGTGCTAACTTTTTGGGGATGTTTAATTTCGATATTTTCTTTTCATTTTCCTCTTGCTTTTCAGTGAGCTCCTCTGAGTCTGTACCTGACTCCTTACTTATCTGATCTCTGTGACTGTTTTCATTGGTGTCAGTCTCTGTTGTCTGCAATTCGTTCTCATCATGCTCTTCTTCCCCCTCCTCCTCCTCTTCTTCATCTTCCTCTTCTCCTTCCTCCTCCTCCTCCTCCTCCTCTACCTCCTTGTCACTCGCGTCTTTGCTTGTCTCCGCAGCTGGCGCTACTGAGTTGGACACGTGCTCGTTTTGATAGCGTCTCTCCTTCTCCACCTCGGGCCACCTCCTGCTCTCAGCACTGCCAGCGTCGCCCGCGTCTCCTCCCGCCTCCTCTGCACCCGTTCTCTGAGGAAGGCAAAAACCCAGAGCTGACGCAGCTGCACGTTTGCTTTATGTCAAAGTCAGACTTTCAGACGCCTCTACACCCAACTCTACAACCCAACCCAACRGGAATATTTCGCATAAAGCACCATGACCTGTAGGTCAAGGCTGCCCCACAAAGCTGGTTTCTGTGTTTTGTGTAAGTTTTGTTGTTTCCCTGATGAGAGRGAAAGCTCCCTTTGCATGCCACGAGCACCAGGAATCAACGGGGACCGCGTGTACGGCCCCAGAAAGCCCACGGAGGGGATACTGGACCCCCAGTGTGTAGGACTAGGGTTCTGAGTGCCTCTCTAGGGCATCACAGGTAAGGACAAATTGCTAAAGATGAAGCAAAATGTGTGCCCAATTTASACGCATGTTTGGAGCTGGTCTGCTGGGGAGGGTGGACGTTTCTGCAACAGRATAATCGGGCACTTTTGGCAGTGAATTCCCCATCACTGAGAAACGCCGTGCTAATGCACATCAAAATATTCTCCTGCAACTAGTTGCATCAGGGCCTGTTGTTCACGGAAAGTCAGATTAAATGGTCATAATTCCATTTCTGCCCTTAGAGCAACAAATCCTAATAGCTGCAAAATGCAGCCCTAATTCCAAAAAAAATGTCTAAGCATGACCTTAGTTGGAAGACATAAAGGAACTAGCATAAATTTAAGAACAGCATTGAAAATGGCTGGGCTCATCCCTAGAGTTTGATGCTTGGTCAGTAATGAATRTTGCACACTGTAAAAAYGTGGGCCTTTTTTTTTGCAGTGTGACATTAATTTCCATCAATTGTTACATCTACCTTTTGCTTATTAATGCAAATTTTCTAGGGAAAAGCAGACTACTAAATCTGAAAAAAGTCAAGTAAATCTGAGCTGCAGTTGCTGAACTGATTTTGTTACAATCTCTCTGTCATTTGCTCTGGTGAAAGAAAATCAGGATTTACTTATGTGAGAAAAAAACATAAGCAAAGAATTAGAAAATAATAATAATAACAACAATAACAACAACAACAACAACAACAACAACAACAACAGAATGCTGGTAACAGCCCAAGCTGGATCCTGTCACTACTTGGGCTTTTAGGTAGGATTTAAGCTCATAGCTTGCGCTGTACGTAAGAACCAGAAACAGAGGCAAGCGATAATATTAAAGGTATTTAAGAGAAGCAAAATCTCTAGCACTGCTCTCTTAAAATACACCCTTCAGCAGACACCCCATAGATATTTGTGGGTTTTTGCTCTTTACCTCCGAGGGCAGGAGGGTGACRGGAACTCTCTCGTCCTCGAGCATGCGCCGCGACGCCTTCTGCCAGTACAGGTAGTCGACGAGGGAGCGGTGGTCGAAGCTCCCAGTCGGTGCTTTCTCCGTCTGGTCTTTCTGTATCATCCCAACGGGGACCTTGGGGTCTGGAGCCATCACTTCCATTTCACACTGTAGCTCCTTGAGCTCTTCGGGGGAGAGATTCGCCAGGATTTCGTCCTCATCGATGTCCTCGGCACATACCTCCTCCTCGGAGTTTTGGCTGGGTTCAGACATGCTCTCCTTCCTCTGCTACCAATTTAAACTTAATGAAGAAGARTGATTTAAAAGCTGGTTTTCCCACTAGCAGCAGTTCACTCGGTTAGATGGACAACTTTGTATTTTGGTCATGAGCTGCAGCAGCTCCTCATCTCAGTGTGGGAGACGGGCAGGGAGACCAAGTCTATATTAAGCTGCACTTGGCTGGATAAAGAGAATTTATGGAGATGCTGCCATGCTCCATTTTCAGCAACTTGTCAGCTGTGCAAACTCCTCTGACATTTCAGTGCAGCTGGTGTGTCCCCATTGAGTAACACAGAAGATGGCCCCTTTTCTAGAGGATTCCCGTGGCCTCATGCCTCGCATGCTTCACCCTAGGCATGAATTGCCTCGGGTCCACCGGGGAAACCAACAGCACCTGCAACGTTTGTGGCGTGGAATATTATATTGCAAGATGAATCGTACAAGTTCTGCATATCAATATTGTCAAAAGATGGCTTTAATGATTATTTTTTGGGCAGCTTGCAGAAAATCTATGATTTTCTCCTGGTTTTATAGCCTTTGGAGAAGTTAAAGCCTTGTTGAATACTGAAGGTAGGTTTGATTTGGGTTTGTCTGTCCCACAGCTCATTGAGTTTCCCAAATACCAGCTCTTGATTAAGAAAAAACATCCAAGGCTTAAAAAGGCAGGTGAAAATTCAGTATGAAGAGTAATCTGTGCTCGATGGGAGAGATCTCTGGTGTGTGGTGGGGCCTGAAGGATGTTAGGCATGAAACAGGCCTTGCTTGCAAGCTCACAGGCGCTGCCCAGGAGCAGTGTCCTTCTGTCCATCGTGGCGATGGTGAAAGGAGGAGAAACCAGYCCATGTCCTGGGGCGGGCAGGGTCCCTGGTAAGGCTGTTTTTAGTGGAGATCCCTGTTGGCCTTGGTCGGTCATGCACGATTGGATTCTCCCTCCAGGGAGATAACACCAGGACAGTGACAAGGATTTGAGGGCATTTTGCTCCGAGGTTATTCTTAGTCTTTTAACCCTATATTAATGGGTTGGGGTCTTTGAGCTCCTCATCCTAGCCAAGATCTTCAAGGACTATGGATAAATGAATAGTTTGTACCTGAAGTCACTATGGTGAGATTCTGCAAATAGATTTGGACTTGCATAAATACTGGACTCTACCATGGACATGATCTGCACCCTCAACAGGCCGTGGCTGGCACTTCATCTGAGATTCATCTTTTCCCTACTTGTTACTATCTTTTTAAAGAATTAGTGAGTACAAACATAYCTGTTACTATATATATGCATATATTCTGTTCCTAGAGCTGATATAACTATAGAAGTTATTTTCAATTGTTTTTCTTTTTTAAGTCTCTGTTCTAGATTGAAAGGTCTCCTCTGCTTAGAATATTTGTATGCTACTAAATTTACATGATAAAGCAGCAGGCTGTATCGTTGATGTCTGTGTTCATGGCTGTTTCRTGAAAACTAAATTGCATGGGCTGGTAATTTCTCTACTACAGCACAGTTTCAGTATGRCACAATTTGGATTGTTCATTTGAAGATTTCCCTTCAAAATTTCAAATACTCTTTACAGAGGATATCAAATCAAATGCTCTCCTTGCAACTGTGATTGCGTTTTCCATAGTAGAAAGAAATGCACACAACAGGCTGTGAAACCAAGTCCCACCAAAAATTATGCCATATTTCTCACTGCAGTCTAAATCATGCTCTGCTGGAGGCTGCTAGCAGCAAAATAGTCTTTGCATGATGGTTACCCCTGCTGAGTTTAGYAACAACAAGAAATACAGTGTTCAAAGCCCTATTATCCTCTATTAAAATGCTGTTAACCCAAGGTCTTCATTTAAGTAATGTTGTTATATGGAAGCTAAGAGGGCAGAAMTTTGAGAACAAAACAAATGGCAAAGGAAAAGATAGCAAAAAACACACAAGCCAAAAAAAGTAATGGCTCTTTTTGACCCTTCAGTATTTCAAGGGACATCCTTATTTTATATCATGCAGTAGCAAGCACAACAGCAGACCCACACATCAATCTGTCTGGTCTACCAACTTTAACCCCCAGCAATTGCTGTCCATAGTGGAGTCCATAAATGGGTTCCTGATGTTATCAAATAAATCAATGCTCTTCTGTGGCTGGCATGTTATTCTCCCGGACGATGCTGTTTGGGTCATCGAATCTGTCTATTCAGTGGTTACAAATCGCTTGCTGATTTCTTGACAGTAAATAAAGCCCCTGGCCACCTTCTTATGTTTCCGTGATCTTCAGCCAGGCCATTTTGGGCTGCGATCTTGTTAGATCTCCTAAGTTAAGCAGGGTCAAACTCGTGAAGTCCTTTGGGAGGGAAAAGAGGGATACYGAGAAAACTGCCAGGGCTTAAAAAGTCAGGTTTTCTTCTAAGTAGAGATATGTCTCTTGTTCCATACTATGATTAGGAAATACTGCACTTCTGGGAGGGGTATCTTTTATATCAGAGGCAAAACAAGGGCCTGACCTGTGACACCTCTCCCAATTACACGGGTGCTAATCCTAGAGCATCACAAGGTGGGTATCATATTTTGCCTACTTTAGGTCTCCTCCATAAATTAGTTTGAGAACAGGATTCACTTCCTTTTCTAACACGTCGCTTAACGCAACTGGAAACGGGTGCACTGGAACCAAGCACGTTATGAGGACAAACGACACCCTCCATGCTGAACACAAATCTAAAGGTCTTCTCCAAGCAAAAACTCCCACCTTCTTCCCAGTATCCTTTGCAAGTATTTCTCCCRGATTTTTCTAAGATAATCACTAATTCTGTCATTTTTCTCCAGAAAAAGTGSTTTGCGTAGCAGGTCCTCCTCCAGAGAAGCCAAAGCTCTCGTGTTGCATCCCTCGAGCAACAGGGACTGACCACGGGGCTGCTCCGGGTGGGTCGGAGTCTGCGCCCATCCTGGCATGGGAATGAGCAGACTCCGATTGCAGGCGCCATCAGAGGCAAACTCAGYATTTATTTTAGATCTCCGTCTGTTTAATTTTGGTTTGTTCATTATTCCTTGGTATTCACGCAGCCTCTTGAACGTGGTGTCCRAACAGGAATAAAAACACAGAAATTTGGGCTGCCGGGGTCCAGCTGTGATATCTGTTGTACAAAGTCATTCCTGCAGCTACRACCTCACCATTCTCACTAACAAGTATTTAGCAAGTGTTAAATAAAATCTCCACAGCAAAAAAAAAAAAAACCCAAACTCTTGCATTTAATAGTGAACCGTTCTTATTTGTCACTGTTTCTAAGGCAAGCGCTTGCATGTGAATGAACCTTTGTATGAAAGCTGGCAGAATTGAGAGCAGGGCTGCTTCATTTAAATGATTTTTCTCATCCATGCATTTCCTACAAGAACTCCGACTCATCTGTCTTGCAGGCAAAAGGGCTGACGGGTTTTAAAGTCAAATATCAAGAGGGGTAGGCTCTGGTGTCACTTTGACTCTAAGCAGGCCATCAAAACATGCTTCAAGTGCCTAAAATGYGTTCTATTTTTAAGGTAATTGATGGGGCACAGGCTGAGGCCAAATACTTCACGGCAGTATCTTTAGCTCTCATTTTTTTTGCTGACAAAACCCACACATTTGTTTTCCTTTATTACCAGTCCATGCCTCTCCCGAGTGCCAAGGCATTAACTGGGACGAGTTGGGAAAGGCGCCGATGTAACATAACCTGGCATCACTTTCCAGCTCCTCGCAGCCTCGTGGCACAGGCTAAAACTGACAAACAGTAGCATGGAGCAAGTATGTCCTGCGATCCCTGTAACGCAAGAGAGGGATTATAAAGGGTCACATGATGGGCCCCTTAACGACAATAACACTAAGTAACGATAGCAATCGGAGAGAGACACCCTGTGGGAAAATATGTATATTTTATATATATCACCCTGTCCTGCTGTCACTAAATCACTGCGTGTCACTGAGGCAGAGTCTAGTCCTTTCCGGGTGCTCAGACAGGAGCAAACTGAGCTGAACCACCACCCGTCTCCCTGAGATCCGGGGGAGCCTGGTTGGGCCCAGGAGGCTAAAGAACAGATCTGTTCTCTGTTTGTTTTGGTTTTCAGTAGCCTTTTCAGAGAAATCTAAGAAAGCACTGGAGAAGAGGAGAGAAAACATTAGTCTAAGGCAAGGCAATGCAAAACAAGGCAGCAAGGAAAGGCACAGGGAAGTCAAATGTGTGTGTCTTGTTTTACATTAAGTACAGTTAAGATAATTAGCTGATGGGTTTTTAAACCATTTCAATGGCTTTTTAAAAATCCATGACTCTTGGGAGCATCCTGGACACTGATGGCTGCTGTGGGGGACCCAGAGTGACAGATGAGGTCCCCGGTGCCCTGGGTATTCCCGGACAGCCACTGACCTCYTCAGAGCGAGACGTGCCCCACGTTTCACCCCAGAGCTCTGGGTTTCTGGCTCAGATGAGTCTGCGATGAGCAGCCCTGCGCCTGGCCCGTGCCAGGATAGGCCCTTCCTATGGAGGCGAGGACTCTTTTAGGTGCAACGAAGCGGCTCTGCGGCTGTAGGATAGGGCATGAGCTCCCGGGCTTCACTGACACTGTGGCCACAGGCAAAATGCTGAAATAGCCCATTCAAATGCTGAAATAGCTCGAGTTACGGCAGCCCCGGCCCCGCGCCGCGAGTCTTTCTTGCTCCACGTCTCCTCGATGACACTCTAGCGATTAAACATAAATTGAGGCTCATGCTGGTGGCCTCGGAGGCGGGCAGGAGGTGCCCRCGGAGGCGCAGCGCATCGCTCCGCCGCCAAGGGCTCCCTGAAGGATTTACAGCAGCTCCTCCGTGAGGGACAGGCTCGGAAAATACAGCTGGATGGGTGCGAGGGAGATGGTCCTGGGATCTGGTTACACTCCTGCCAAGACCCTGACATCCCTCCCCATGCTCTGTCCTCCTGCGCTGCCAGCACCAACCCCTGCCTGCGCCGTCCCCTTTCCCAAGCAGGAGATGTCGTACCATAACAGAAACAGATAATCTGATTTCTTAAATTAATAGCTATTAATAACTTTTTAAAAATTAAATTTTGTAAAAAATTAAATTCTTTTTCTATCTGCTTTACTTTGACAGTCTTTAATTTTTGTGTCAAGTCCTAGGAAAACCAAAGCCCTCAGCTTCTTACCTTCAAAATGAACTAAATATGTCAGAAAAGCACRGAGGACATTAAGGAATAGAGTAGGAAATGGGAATCTGCCCAGGAGAGGCCCCAGCTTGTCCAKAAGGCGGCAGGCCCGGCCGGGCGAGCAGCCCTCTCGCAGGCAGCGCCCAGGCCGGGAGATGGAGCAAAGTCCCTGCAGCTCCTGCAGCCCCTGGGGCCGCCCGGCTGCGCCGCCTCTGCGCCCTGACCCACGAGCCGCAGGGAGACCCCTCTCAACCAGGAAACTCCAGCGTGACAAATCAAAGCTCCACAGAAACCACCAGTCACCTCACGTCCCAGTCGTGTTGGCCACCCAATTCCACACAACAGGTGAGCTTTAAAGATCTCTGAAGCTTCCGAGGTCCTGCAGTGGAATGTGTTGAAAACAATCCTGAATTCAAGCAGGTTCTGCCTCGCAAAGCAGAACTAATGGCATTAAAAACCAGGCAGCAATTAAAAATATCAAACACTGCTAGATTTAGCAGAGTGCCTCACACCTGTTTGGTGATTCCTGGTGAGGATTAWTCCTCCTTCTTCACCCCTCAGCATTTATAAAGCAGAGCAGAAATGCTCCAAGTTGCATATTTTCTGCAGGGGGGAGAAAATCTMGTCTCCTCAGCAGCATCTTCCATTTCCTGAAATAAACGCAGCCCTGCAGACCTGCAGCTGTTTCACCTTTGTTTCATGTTGGGCACGTCTTGGCTTTGTTCAGTATCCTGTTAAATAAGGATTTCTAAATATTTCTTCAAGCTGGAAAGGACAGAAAGAATCTGAGAAGAATATGGGAGCTTCTCAGTGATGCTAGTTGGTCACTAGGTGTCCTCATGATTCCTGATGAAGAAAGGCTGAAGGGAAAAAAATGTAGAGCTGAAAATGGAGATGAAGCGGCAATTCAAACACRCCAGGTAATTTGTATTTCAGCTCTGAACAAATCTGCTCATAATTGCAACCACGTCTTTATTCCCTTTTCGGCTGCATGATGTAGGCCTGGTCTCCCCAAAGACCAAAACTTCACCCCAGAAACACAGCATAACGAAGAAAGAAACTTGAGATCTATAAAACCCAACATTAAGCAAAACCTCAGACCTTTGGTGCCCCAGGGATTGTGCAGCACAGTGAGCCCTCAAGAGCCGAGCAGGCAGGACAGGAATTGCTGGAAATAGGCAGTTCTTAGCAAAGGGGCAGCACGGGCAGCCCCCAGCTCGGATGGGGGCTTTGCACCCTTCCTCTCTCTCCTGCCCTCTAGGCAACTATTACATCCAATGCCCCCAAACTGAGTAAGTTGGGCTCAACATCTCCCCCAAATGCCCAGGCTCTCAGCCCGATGATCCCAAACAATGCTGGGAATATCAGAGCTCCTCYGGAGCCTGGCTGGGTGCCGGCATCAGCCCAGCACAGATGTGTTGGACTGAGCTACGTCCTGAGCAAGCATAGAAGAAACAATACCAAACTCAAAGGATAATGCATTAAAATAAGGGAATGTAAATATTCCCGCTTTAAACAGGGGCTGGGCTTTGTCATACAGCTCATTTYCTCTCTCAAACGAAGCTATTGACAAATGCGACCGCGAGCACACGCTGGTATCGCCAGTTCTGAGCAAGGAGTTGGACTTCGCACCATACAATGTCCCATTGAAACCACCAGCATTTCCTACCAACACCAAAACATGTTAGATGCACGAGGCCGTGCTGACCGACAGCCCCAAACCCCTGCGGGAAGACTGACAGGCAAGGGGGGAGTGCTCATCTGCAGGGACTCCCACAGATCCTTCTCACTGGTATTTTCACCCGCACTTTGGAAATAGGAACAACAGGCAGAGCTGCTGTGAAATCACTGGGAATGAGAAAGAGCAGGGAAGAGAAGGATCCGGAGTGAYTTGGGCTGCGTGGCCGTAAGGAGCAAGCAGGACTGTGGAGCTGGAGCCAGGCTGCTCCTCCAGGAGGGTCCTGGTGGACAAGAGCTGGAAAGAGGAGCAGGTGGGTCAGGAGAGAGGCAGGACGGGACTTCCCAGTGCAATTGCCCAGAGGCAGGAGCTGCTCTGCCCTTCAGGCGCGGGGGCGCGGGGAGGAGACGCTCCATAGGGAGCTGCCGGTGAGGCCTCCAGGCYGGGAGCAGGGATTAACAATTAACGAGTGCTCCCTAGTCACTCCGGTTCGTCACAGACACCTTCCATCCAGCGGGCGAGGGACAAGGGCTTCCATAAAGCCCTGAAAAACCACGCGCTGCTTCGTGGGGAACRCTCAGAGAGAAATAGGAGCAATACGGAGAGGCTTTTGAGAGCACACTTTTTAGTTTATTGACCTATACCAAAATAATAGGTCTAAAAAATTCAGAAGTAGYAAAAGAATAAGCAAAAAGAGCTTTCGCATTTCTAAAAGGCTATACAAATATGCCAAAAAAAAAAAAGAAATAAGTTATCTTTTTATTTTGCTTTTGTTCGTTTAATTCCAAATCGCGGCTCTAATAATACAAACGACTAAGTACCAGCTTAACAATTGTGTCCTTCTGTATATATTACATGCTCTAGAATATTGGTAAAAAATGTCAAAAAGGTTTATCAGAAACTTTTCTATTCACAATATGAACAAGGAGTAGCTAACCCTTTGTATAAAAGAAAAAGAAGAGCACCATTGTATGGAATCCTGAAGCACATTACAGCTGCGAAACGAGAGATATTTTACAGAATGCAAGTGACTTCCTGCAAATCACACGAGACAACCCATGCTAGTTTGTTCCTACAGATGGATGATATGAGGTAGGTTTCTCTCTCCTCGGCCAAACCTGCAGTCGCACTATTGTGTTTTGAGAAACGGATGGTCCTGTGAAGATGCTGTTTGGTCACTCAGCGACGCTGCAACGCGCCGGGCAGCTCCCATGGCTCGTGGTACAACTCTAATGCCCTCAGTTTTAAGGCACCCGCTTGGTCGGTTGGTTCTGTTTGCCTCCACCTCACAATACTGGCCATTACACCCCGATTGTTGAATGTGTGATTACTAGAGCGCTCCATCCCAATCCTCRACTCAATGGGGCAGAGCAAAACGCAACTGATATCCAATTAGTAGTTCACTGTGCACCCAGGGTGAACTTCTGCATACTCCTCTGCACAGTGATATTGTACCATGGAAAGTTGATCAAAYGTGAGGTTATTAATTACACTTTATCACGGAAGAGAGTTCAAAGTTTACTGCTTCTGTTTCTAAAAATCCACAACCACCTATAGTTTTACATGACATTTTGTGACAGCAAATACCTTTCTTTTCAGAACTTGCTTGTGGTGCTAACAAACACTCTTAACAACACCCCAAATATGGATATTCTCATTCAAACCTCCTTAAAAAAAGATCCAGCCTTCCTTCAAGTAATGATCCAATACTGATTAAGTCCTTTGCCTCACTCACACACACAGTATCTATCCTTCATAGGCTTATGAAAGTCCTTCCAGGCCGYCATAAGCCATGGGAGAAGAAATTTTCATTTCTTCTTCTTTCAGACACRGAAATTGTGCTCCTAAAATTCCTGGTTTTCCATAAGAGTTTCCTYTTCACATTTTTTTGAGGTTTGCCTTCAACATCTTCCAATCTTCCCCAAAGTGCTTGCCAAGTATAAATACTTCAACCAAGTGCTGCATCTTGTCACAGATTAACTCGTGGCTTGCCCTTGCTCACGCCGGCCATCGGGATTCAGAAACACCTCTGTGGGTAAGACTTGGTAGGTTTTGCTATAGTCCCTCTTAATGCTGAATTTCCACCTTTCCCAGCCAAACAGAACCCTTCCTTCTGGCCTGATTGGGAAGCTCCACCCGAGATCCTCTTCCAGGTAACAGCGTTCTGTGCAAGGCACGCAAGGGTACGAATGCAGGGCCGCGCGCGGGCTACACGAGAGTCCCAGGCTTTGAATCCTCGTGCCAAAACAACCGCTGCTCGTTGCTGTGCAAGTCGTCTTCCAAGCGGCTGCCCTCGTCGCCACCCAGCTGGCTCGTCTCGCCAAAAGCTCTGCAAAAAGAGAGAGGGCATCAGCGAGGAGTGGGAGCTGAGAGGCTCCCCAGGCTCCCCAGGGGCTCCTCAAGTTCCCAAGGGGCTCTCCAGGCTCCCGGCTGCAGGAGGGAGCGACTCCCATCCCATCTCAATGCAACTCACACACATCCCAAGGMGCTTGAGAGTTTAAGCCCAGAGTAAGTTGGATCCCAAGACAACCCCAGGCTTTGTGCTCTGGGTCATCAGAGCAACAGGATCCCTGGAGCTTGGTACTGTTAAGACTGCAGAACATATCAATTGCTCAGTTGCTATAATCACATTGAAACAAAACAGGAGAGATAAATGAGGTATTCAGAATATGGAAAATTAATAGCTAATATACCTCATACAGATAAAGCTGTCAAAATAAGCAGACCTTTTTGCAGCCTAATTATAGGAAGTTAAGAAATCAGTAGGAACACTGTTTTTAAACACTGTTACTGTAGATCTTTCTAATTACCGTAATAAAAAAGCCGGAGGCTTTCAGTTTGAAAGCAAGGATCTAGGAGAAGCTTTCATATTCTTTGCTTACACTTTACTTTAAAACAAATAACTGAAAATTGCAAGTGTAGACACGCCAGCAGCCTGGCAGAAGCTGCACACAGACTGCAGCCCACCAAGCAGGACACACAAGTGTGGGGCACTTGGCACAGCTGGGGCAYGGAGCACGTTGCCCTGCACAGAGAGCCTCTGTGCTCCCGATAACAGGTGGCATCGCGGGCAGAGCGGGAGGTGGAAAACCCCAAATAAAGGGAACAACAGGAAACGACCGTGCAGCAGAGGACGTGAGCCTGCACGGTGCTCCTTTCCCCCTTCCCTGAATGCTGCTCTGCACCTTCTGGAGACGACCTGCTCTCTTCATGTYGGTTTTATTGCCCTTTATGCTGTTCCTGTGAACCCAGCAGCTTTGTTCGGGAGGTTTTATAGTCTATAAAGCACGAGGAGGGGCAGGAATCCTGAGACACTCCACTCACCTGCTCTGCAAYGGAAGGTTGCCGTAAACATTCCCATAACAGCTGGCGTAAGAGGAATGAGATAACGAGTCGTAATCCGAGAGTCCCTGTGCCAGCGGGTTCCGCCAGGKCCCTGCGGTGTTTGCAGAAGATGCTAGAATTGAAAAAAAAGCACCACCAAATTAGATGTTTCTCCAGCTAAACCAACTGAAAGAGGGGGCYGGTTCTCATTAGGGATCTCTACAGGTTTCTGCAGGGGAGAGGAGTAAATACAYGTAATTTATAAGGACCAGGAGGAGCAAAGCACTGATTGTGCAGTATTTCAGCATTATGCAATATTTCCTTAAAAAGACTTTATGGCCCATTCAGTGATGCTTATTTTGGAAACCATCAGAGCAACCGCATGTACACCACGAAGCCTTGCACACTGCTTGTATTTGCTAAACATGCCTGCTTGGAGCCTATATGACCCTTACATTTGCATTTACAAACAGCAGAACAGACARCATGAGAAGGCAACAAATAACCTAGGGCACCCTGTGTACAGCTCCCATCTCAAACTCCTCTTGGCAATCCATACATCAGCTCTGCACCAGGCACAGAGGGGAGCAAACAAGTCCTCTGCTTCTGACCACAGTGAACAGGGCTGGTGGCCTGTGGTCTGACAGCTTCTCCTCCCCTGAGGTCCCTCAGCTGAAAAATTTCTGTTGGCTCCTACTCAACAATTCCTGGGAATTCTGTATTGCTCTTGAAAAGACTTCGACTGCGCAGGGCCTTGAGCTGTCAGCACATGGACCTACTTGATTCCCAGGCAGGTGATGGCCCTGACAGATCATAAAAGCAGTGTGGTATTTTTACTGGAGTTTCTACTGACGGGCAGCAGGTACACTCTCAGGAAAATGTGAAAACAAATCAGATGATAAAAAAGCAGCTGGCTGTGTTAGCTGGCATGGGGTTTTCAGAAAACACTCCCCTCCAAGTCCATGACCTTTGAACGTGCTGTGYGAGTGACCTGTGCGTGGGTGGGTGCTCTCTGAAGCTCAGGGTGCAACAGGAGCTCAGCAGTTCCATCCAGTTCAGGGACATCTCTGCTGAGCTCCGGGCTGCCACCTCACCCTGCGCGTGGGACTGTGTTGCTTCCACCAGGTAGATCCACAGAGAGAGACTCTCCTCCCAAGCACCCACCACAGCAGATGTCCTAGCCAAGTGCCCGTCTACATTTCAGGACAGAGCTCTAGCATTGAGCAGGCTCTGTYGACTTCACTTAGAAAAAAAGGATGCACAGAAGGAACACACAAAACAGAGCAAACCAGACATTACCTGAAGAAAAAGAAGAAACTCGACTGCTAGGAGAGCAGGGAACTTGCAGACCAGAGAAGCCCAAACTCCTCTGAGACCCTCTGTCAGACTCAAAGCCTGCCTGCAGGCCGTGACCCTGTTCCTTCTGACTGGAGGCACGTTGGTACCAGCCACGGAGATGCTCTGCTACTAAGGCCTTGTGAATGTTTTTGGTTATATGCTCTGTTTTTGCAACTTGCTTCCTGGGAAGCCGTAGGGTTGCGTACGGGTTGTGCGGTACTCTGTCCACCTCGTCCTCGTGGTAAGACCTGAATTCCCTGTAACGGTCGTATCCATAATGCGCGGAAGAGCGATAGGAAGGATTGACACTGTACTGTCCCTCGGTGTCACTCTCATAAACATATCCTCCGTTGTAGTAAACATCAGGTTCGGTGTAAGGGGAATATCCAGAAATATAGTAGCTAGAGGAAGGCTGATCCTGACTTTTGTGGTAGACACCGTTCCGGACATCCTTCTGGGCAAGATTTGGCATACTCCCTGAACTTGCAGCAGAAAAGTTTTGTTTCTTGGACCGTCTTCGACCCCTGGTCCTGTTGTCAAGTGTCTGTGTAGTATAATATGCACTGGGAGTAGGTGTTACACAGTAGTATTCTGCACTGGACTGGCTAGTGTAGGACGACCCATCGTCCAGGACTTCCGTGCTGCTGCTTCGCTGCGACTTTGAGAGGGAGAAGGCTGGTTTGTCACCAGGGGGGTCGGTCAGCAGGTGGGTTTGGGACTCCAGACTTCCACTGCGCTGCCTGCAATGGTGGGGGGAAGCGTCTGGCCTGAAATGACACAGAGATAGGGGGGTTAAAAACAGTCCCATGAACACACAAAGTGTGYGTGGAGAGCGTGCTCCCCAAGCACAACACAGACTCCCTGTTGCCATTAGATAAAAATATCTGCATTGCAAGAAACTCAGTAGATTTCTCAAAAAAAAAAAAATCATGATGATCAAGTCAATCTGTGATGGTAAAAGCATCTCAAGTCACATTTTGGCAATGGTTTACACACGGGATCTCCCTGACTTTAAGAATGAAATATCTATGTAAGTATCCAAGCAAGGGGCAAAGCGTGGCAAGCTGGGTTTCCTGTGGCTCTGTGTCTCATGGTTGGATTACTCCAGCCAAGTAAAGCATGAGCCCTTTACAATATTATAACATCTACAGCACCTCTCCTCCACTGGATGGATTCTTGACTGTCTAATAATGTAGTTGAACTTGTATGTGTCCAAATCAGCATGAGCACTGACTGGGATCTCTTCTGTCTTTCCATTTATTTTTTAGAGGGCTTGTAGGAACTTAATCTACAGAAGATGCTTGTCACCTTATGAGCAAGTTTTGGGGTTATTTCTGTGGAAGTGGGGAGAGAGACCACTGATGGTGCTTGCACTTGTGCATACGCTCTCCCTTGCCTGTCACAAAGCTGGCGCAGGACTGATTGACATTACCCTTGTGCTTCAAATACCCCAGGCAGCCTTTCTGAGAGGCTGACCCCGCTATGCGCAGAGAAGCACAGCRCAGGATCCCTCCTCCTCCTCACACCATTCCCTTTGGTTCCTTTGCAGGCTGAATAAAGCGTCCTTACTGCAGGTGGCTGCTGCTGTAGGCGTTGCGGGTGAGCACGGGGGTGGTGGGCATGCTCCTGCCGCCCGGCGCCTGCGGCGGCCGCTCCAGCGTCCGGTACGGGCTGCTGTGAGTCGACAGCGGGTCCCTGCAAGGCAAAGCGGAGAGACCGGCTCGGTTAAACACAGCGTCGGTCACCCCACACTGCGCTACCTGCGCCCCGAGTCCTTAACAAAAGAGAAGCACAAAAACAACTACGGGTAGAAGAAGGTAAGAGAGGAACTCAATACACTGCCCATGTAAACTCAATACACTGCCCATGTACTGTTAAAACAAGAAGAAATTAAGCGCTTCTTGCAGTTCAAGAGGGTGACAGAGCACAAAAGGTCTTCGCAGCCTGATCTGTAGGAATAGCTGCTGCTAAAGGATGAAGTGGAAGAGTCAGAAAAGGTAACACAGACACARTTCAAAAATAAACCACAGAGTTAGACATGGCTATAACGCAACTCCTGGGCTTAATGCCGAGGATTATCTTGAGGGGCTGCTGAGAAAAACGCAGAGGTCCATGACATTGTCCAAAATGTCAATACTTTTTAAGCATGCCTTCAAAGGCCTGATCTTGCACTTCATGAAAGATACATTTTAAGAGACGCTGAGATCAGCAGGAATCCTTACACTGAGAACAACTAGCACTAAATCAGGCCCATATGATATGTTCATTCTTCAGCAGATCTTCTGCTAACCACATGCTCTCCAGAACTGCTCTCCTAGCACAGGAGTCCTGTCCCGTGGATCACCAGGCACCTCAGCCACTTACTGCAGCTGGCACTAATGAGGGTAGTTGGCCAAATCCCAGTAACTCTATTCTTACACCCAGAAACTGCCATCAAGGCTRATGCGAATTCTGTATGCTTTGACAATGCACCCACTGAAGTACTGATGCAATCAGCAGGGATGGATATGGTTCAGTGTCACCTAAAGCAATTAAAGTCATCAGGAAAATTACTGGCTGTTTAATTAATACTGAAAACAAACCACAAAAACAGAGGGAAAGAGTTCAAGTACCAGCACCCCGCGTAATTCTTTAAAAGCAGCCCTTGATACTAAATTTCTCATGCATCTCACTTTTTCAAAGAGCATACGCTACCCTCCACATTCAGAGACCCATATACTGCCTTTCCTAAGCAGGATTTTGACCACTGCCACTAATTTCTTTCTCAGAGAGGAACGTAAAGGCAGCAGGCTCCTCCAGAGCACTTGTTGGAAGGCTGGACATGGACAAAGCCAAGCTCATGCCAACCATGCAGAGAGCATGGTGACACTTAGACATACGATACCTGGTGTGTCTGGTTTCGAAGAGCTGCTCATTTATGGATGACTTTCTGAGATGAATTCTCTCCACCCCRAGGGACTTGGGTGGAGGGAGCCTTGGAGAGAGCTGTGCAGAGCTGCTCCTTTGCGCTGGCACAGCAAGGGATTCACTGGCTGTTGGAAARGAACATGCATTTTGTTAGCAAAGTCTTACCCATTTTGTGCCTGTGTGCAAACTCACGGCCTTTAAGCAGAAATGWTCTGCACTGAAGACAAGGACAAAAGCTCTGACTCCAGAGAGGTTCTCCTGAGGTGCCTGATTTTAGATCTTGTGCAGATTTTAGCAGCATTAACTGCTGCCGAGATTTCTGCTCGGAGCTTTGCCAGATCACAAAGCGGAACTTCCTTGGGAAAGCACCTGCTTGCTCCATCCYTCCCAGAGCTGGGCAGGCACGTCCAGCTTCTGCAAAAGCCAATTCCCTTCCCTCACCGTGCAGCACTTCAGTTGAAAATGACATTTTAAGAATCTGTTTTGAAATACAACCTAAAAGGGTCYGACTTCAAAAGCAACTGAATCAGCAAAGACTCTGACAGACAAATTTGGCTGCAAGCAACAGTGAAGAGGCCAGTTTGAAGAGGCAGAGTTGTTCTAACTTTGCTTAGAGCACAATCCAGATTCCATTAGAGCCAACAGGAAACTCCAGCAAATACAAATAATGCAGGCCAAGCACTAGCACTACAGAGAACATGTTCACAAGCAAAGCCCTGGCTCTTCTAGTCGCACATGTGAAAAAACAGCTCTAACTCCATTTTAGAGGGTCAGATGGTTTATACAAGTCTAAAACTGGGACAAAGCAGGATCAGAATCATGCCCTAACTGAAAAGTGAGTAATAATTTAGTTAATGTTTGTCCCCAAAYGATGATTAGCCAGTTAAGGGAGAGGCAAGCCAAGTCCTTTCCACCTTGAAGAACAGGGCGTGCGTGTGCCTGTGGGTGTGCGACGTGAGTAAGCTGAGCAAACACCGAACCCAGGCGAGATGCAGCTCACTGGGGAGCAGACAAATGCAAACACATCGTTAATGTCTCTGCATACCCTATTTTTTTTTTTTTTTTTTTAATAAGTTTTAGTAAATGTGAGGACAGATGGGCCAGGCATTTCCTGTCATCTTGAAGCTTCTCTAGCCCTTCATTCACCACTGCTCAGGTAGCAGAGACAAACTCCTTGCTTGCAAAGGCTCAGTGCCCTCATCTTAAGTTGATTGCATTAAAGCGATCTACCTGCTCTGAAGAAGACCCAAATCAGCTGATGAAGCAGAAGCTTTCAATAACTAACCCATTATGAAGACAGGTTTATATCTAAGCTCTTTTCTTCCCTCTGCTATCAAACAATTAGTCATGAAAGACACAACAAAAGGCTAAAGGATATTAAGTCAAAATAATACAGCTGCACAGATGCACTCCTTAGAAAGGAAAGGATAATGAACATACCCTCATCGTAGGTTGTTGTATCAGACAGGGAGCTGCTTTCAGATGGAATTATATCATCTGCAAAAGAAAACACAGGCTTTAAGCATAGAAGACTCATTAGGAACTCCCAGTTATCACATACGGTCTATTTCTAAAACTCAGAGACAGCAGATGCTGGAAATGCTCCCACCTGAACGCCCGAGCTCTCAACAGGCCTGCCTGGCAGTTCGGTGGGGTCCTGTTTGTTCCCATTGCAGCTCAGCTGGCTACCTGCACATCAAAGCGGCCTCCACCATCAAAGGAGACTCTCCAGCTGCGCTGGGAGTGAGGCCAATATTCACAAAGGTGTTTTCCACCCAACCTCCAAGAGAGCTCACAGGGAGGTTGGGTGCTTCAGTAGGAATTAGGAGCCTATACAGACACGCAGATCTTGGCTGCATCTAACCTCCTCAGGTAGGCTTGAAATCCCACCAGGTAGGTACTAAACGTCTTTTGAAATTTGGCACTGAAGTTTTTTTTCTTTCTCCTTTACCTTTCTTTTTTTTTTAATATGTTTTATTAGCACACAAATTCTGTTTCAACTAGATTAATATAAATCTGGAATAATTCCACTGATTTCTATCAAGTTATTCCAAATTCCAGCAACACAGACAGTGATATCTGTTTTATAGATATTGCAATTTTTTTTTCTTTCTTTTGTATTTTGTTATTTATTTGTAGGGCTTTCTTGTAAGCATCTGTCTTCTCACCTCGATATTGGAAGTTACCACTTATGCTCTGGAACGACCTGTCAATGCAAAGGTTTGGAAGACCAGAGGAAGAGAAGCGAGGCTGGTGCTAAACAAGAATGCCACAGTTAGAGGGAATTAACCCAGAGCAAAATCTGTTCCTAGGCAGTTACTAGCAAGACAAGAAGCTGATGAGATACAAAGTCTATAGGAACCTCCACTTGTGAGAGAGAAAAGCTCCCGAAGCAAGCGGCAGTCCCTGCAGCTTGATTGTCCATCAGTCCTGATGCACATACACAACACACTGCTGCTCCTCGCTGCGGTGCTTCCTTTGCAAGGAAAGACCTGCTTACAAGAATTTGTCAAATAAAAGCCATTCTTCAAGAAGAAGGTAACACCAGGGCTGGCCCCTGCCCCAGGGGCACCTGTCAGACCAAGCAGGAGGGATTGCAGCTCCACTTGCAACCTGACACTAGGAAAAAGAAGTTTCTGAGAAGCTTATTTACCTGGATTTGATAAAGTGATGGAAGGATATGGAACTGGGCTTACTTTAAGAGAGGAAAAAATTACCTAGATAGAAAAGAATAAAACAACCCAGGCCTAATGCTGTGCTGATGGATTCMCGGGGGGTCTGCCCTGCATGGGTGCTCTGAACTTAAACGCTAAATCTGTGCAATCCCCATGTCCTGCAATTGGCAAAAAAAGCCTCTGAGATGCAGAGGATGCAATGCAAGGGAGGAATGGAATATGGACAGCAGGAGAGGGTCCGGTGTGTGCTTCACCTCCCATCTTTTGGGGGCTGGAATGAAAACAGCCATAGCTTGATAAATCAGTGTTACTATTTAACATGTCATTTCCAACAAGCCATTGCCCCAGCTCAYAGCTGCCTCCCCACTGCTCAGCTTCCCGAAACCCCCCACCTCAAGCCTGTGAGCACAGGCAGGCATGGTCAAAAGGCTACATGGAAAAGCAGTTATTGAAGCAGGTGACAGCTCTGCTTCAGGATGCAGTAACAAATACACGCTGCTATTGCAGGAGTTGGGAACTGGAAAGGAATGCAGCTAACTTGCTGCTGACTAAATATATGCAGGCCTTATCGATAGGAAGAGACCCTCATGAGACAGAGTTCAGCAGCTCCTGGCTCTGTGCCCTTCTCAGAARGCAAACAAGGATGGCATGAATCAGATGGTGCAAGCTCATGGGCTAAGTGGCACTTGCATAAGAACTGACGATTGCAAGCCCAGCTCCCAAGTTCCGTGTTTTGCACAATGGTACAAAAACCTCCGTGCAAACAGCGGTGATTGTGCAGACCGTGTCTCACAGGTTCTCTCTACTTATTGACCTTCAGTAACTTCCTGTGCTCTKGCTGCACAGCCCAGGGACCGCAGGCACTCCCACTGCTAATGCCTGCATTGGCGAGCAAGAGGCTCGAAATACATCTGTTTTCCTCATCTCTGTCAATCAGCAACTAGTTAAAGAGCAATCATCAATAGTTTAGAATAAGCTCTTTGCGACAGTGGGTAGTCCCGTGTTGCTGCATTTTGTGCTTGATGAGAATTCAAATCCAGTTCGGAAAGGGAACAGGACACCARGGTTTCCCAATAGATACACAGATCGTGCACAGAACATATGTATCAGCAAGGGCTCTCAGCTCAAAGCCCAAGGGGCAGAACAAACGCTTCCATCCCACAAGGGTCACTGAGAGCGAGTCAGCATGAACTGTAGATAATCTTGCATCTTCTTTCCTACTTGGCAGTTCCCCGGAAAGCCCCTCCAAAAAACTCTTGAAAGAGCAYTTCCTCTAGGCCAGAAGATGCAAGAAGTCAGTTAACAATTATATTTTCCCTGAGGGGGGAAATAAAACATGTTCTCAAATCGTTAAGCACCACAGAAACTAGGAGAGYGTGCAACACCTGTGAATTTTTACTATTCCCAATTTCCTTCAYTCAGCTTGGATGCTAGCAAGTTTCTGTGCTTTATCCTACGAAGAAACAAATCTCACCTCCCTCAGGAAAATCACTTTTTCGGAAGGGAAGGCCAAGGCTCTTTTCATTGTGATCATGATTCTGGCAAACAGAATAAGCAAAACATCTGTACGTCCCAGTTTGCATTTCTCCTGTTTTGACCTTTGCTAATGTCTTCTTGGAAATCAGTAATTTCCGGCAACAAAACAAAGTTTTTGCTGCTTATTTCCTTGATCTCATAGAAAAACTCATGCATTGGGGTTTTGTTAGGACTGCAGCATTGTGGAAGGAAACGGAGAAAGCTCTTGCGTGCGACAGGCTAGAAATCCAACTATGTTCAATACATTAGGAATTAAGATACCACACCAGTTTCGACTGAGATGCTCCTGCCAACCTTTCTATGTATAGCATTCTTGGGCCAGCACCTGACGCTGCAACATGTCTGCACATGTTTCTAAAGCTCCAGACTATTCTGCCCACAGCCTATAAACAATGCACGTCTTGTGTCAGATGCAGCAATTGCACCTTTTTCTTATTTAACTGCCACAGAAGAGATAAGAATCATATAGGAGAGATGTAAACAAATCTTGTAAGTGAACCAAGTAACTTTCTCTTTYTTTCATCTGAACATGGGGAATTCTCTTGTTTACCTGGCAGAGTAAAAGTTGATTTCTGGGTTGGTTTCTTGCCRCACTTGATTCTATATTCATTTATGGAATTTTCTATCTCTTGGAGCTTTTTTACAGCATCAGCATATTCTTGCTTTCTTTTCTTCTTCACATTTTTGCACAGGTCTTGTTCACTGGCAAGCTTCTTGGCAGCTTCCACCAACTTTTGCTGTATGATAAAATTGCTCTCCAAGTCCTGCAGAGTGGGATCCTGCAAATTCATCACATCAGTTACTTGCTTGTACTGAAGATAGAAATTATCTAAGGTCATTGAAAGACTTATCTTTGTGATAAGGAAATGAAACCTTTAGAAATTCCAAAGTTTATACACAAAATCAGCTCAGCAGATGAAATCCTTAGGTCTCATTTCTACAACACCCACATTATTATGAGATCTTCTGAGAAATGACCAAAGCTCTCAAGCCTGCATGACCTAAGCTAGACATTTAAATTCAAGTTTAGGTCCATCTGTTGAACAAGTCACGTTACAGGCTGCTAAACCTTCTGGTCCAATTCAGAGCCTGACAATGTCTGTTTGAAATCTCTCTCTACTTTCCAAAAATAAAAATGAAAATTGAAATCACCATAGTTACATAACAGGTAGCTGGGCGTTAATTAATTGTTTGTAAACAATTTTGAGTCCCTCAGATAAAAGGCACTGCAGAGGTACGCTGCAATGCACTGTCAAGTCTTGTCAGTAGGATGGTTTTCAGGAGCATTTAGCAGTCTACATAAGTTTGCTGCAGTGAGTTTTGGCGGAAGACAGATGCAAAGTGCCCAACACTTACTTCACACTTGGATAAGAGAGCCAGCGAACAGATCTCCTAAGGAATGAGAGGGAATGGGATGTGTCCAGACACTGCATATATCTGAATTAGCCTATCTCCTGAGTCAGTCCCTGCCAGCAAACATCCCATTAACTTCTTGAGCAAGAGAGAGCTTTTACTTAGGTGGAACTCGCATTAAGCCAGGGATAAATCTCCTCCCACTGTCACGTGGAGTTATCGCCTGTGCTCATGGAGAGATGATTTTGTAAGGGAACAGCACTCCCRAGGCACATACTTGGATCAAGCATAACCCCAGCACTCCACAAATCAGCACTTTAGAAGAAAAGCAAGCTCATAGCCCTACGTTGCCAAACTGCAGCATGAACCTGCCTTTCTCTAATTAGCAGCAAAATTTCCATTAACACTCAAGTGGCAGAGTCAAATCAGGAGGTCAAATGCAGAGATATTTGGGCTTTTTGATACAGCTACTTTCCTGCAGAACTGAAATAAGGATATTACTCTAAGTTTCCCTGCATATGCATGCGACTATCCTAGCTGCCTCTTAACTAGATAAAATCAGCGACCCAAACAATCRGGAAAGTTTATTTAGAAGTGGCTTTGGTCATGGGTCTGGCTGCCCCACCTTCGATGAGAAACAAATCAAAACACTAGGTACAGTACCCACCTCTTCGCTGGGGAGTAGGTTGTCATCCAGTTTGAATGCAGTGCCCACACGTCTCCTGACCTGGGGAGGCTCCTCTCCAGCACTCAGAGGATACTCCTTTGGCATCTTGCCTGTCAGCTCCTGAGGAACAGAAAAGGCTCTAGGTGATGGTCTGGAAGGAGAGAAAGGCTCTCCCCACCTCTACCCTAGTGCAAGGTGCAGATCTTACYGCCTCTCGCAGGCAAATTTTCTTCAGCTCCTCTACTTTCTCAAGAAGTTTTTCTTGAAGGAGTTTTTCTTTCTTCTTTAGTTCCATAATTTTCTCCTTCTTTTGTTCTTCACTGACCTCTGAATCCTGAGAACCTGAAAAATGCACTTTGTTATTAGATAATTTGCAGGGAAAAGACTTTTGTTTTTTTTCCTGCAAGGAAGAACTGGTCAGGYAGGCTGTTTTCCCAAAGGAGCCTAACGTAACCAAACTGTATGTTATTCAAAAGGCACCATTCAATTGCTGTGTCATCCAGCAAGCAAGGTTTTATGAAGTCTGCACTAATCCAATACCCTGGGAATAAAACCAGGCACTTAAATMTCAAGTATAAGACCTCAAAACCCATTATATAGAATATAAAGCAAATCATTAGGTATGATGATCTTCATATATACGAACTAATAGCTTTGATTTTGCATTTGATGCAGACGCAGAGACTCCYCACTTAACTACAGGTATGTCTGTGGCAAGCTAAGCTTTTATTTTCCCCTTGCCTTCATTTATATCTCAATGCAGAGATCGAAAGTCCCCTCCGGATCTGAATTTTATTTGGAAGTATTTATCTTTCTCTGTCTGTCCTGAGTTACTCAGGGAGCTCAGGGCAATTCAGTTCCTAGTACAGGAGGTTCAAGTCAGCTAGCATCAGATTTCCCTTGGACTTTGATGAGACTTGAACTTAATTCAAGGACTGATGATTCCATAAATCGGTATCAAATTAATCATGGACCAAAAGTATACGGATGCCTGTCTCTAATATAATTTCACCTCCTTATTTAGGCTTTGGGGAGGTGGGAGGGAGGGGTATCAATAGTTATGTAACTGTTATTATTTCAGATATGTAACTAAGACAGGCTGTCAAATATAACTCTGAATTTATGGTCAGCTGGAGTTCTTTTCCCCTTTAATGCACACAAGCCCCAGTGTACTGGTAGTTCACTACCTTGCATTTACAAGTAATATTACCTGATGAGATTAAACTGCCATTGCTGGCCATAATAAGCTGGTTTTTAGCCTCCATAGTTACTAGTTTTGAAACTTTTGGTGTTCCCATCTCTGTCAGATCCATGGCAATATCATCCAGACTTCTGGCTGAAGGAATTTTTGCCTGAAAGAAGTTAAAAAAAAAAAAAAAAAAAAATCCATCATCATCAAGTTACCTCTAATTAGCTTCAGACCACAGGGTCACAGAGATGACATTTCACACCTCATCTCCCAGTAAATTAAGGGCTAAAGCAACCCCATGGCATGGCAGCTTAGTGTGCACTTCCCTGCTCTGACATTCTTTCCTCGCCCTGTTCCCGCCTCCACAGCCTGAATCATCCCCAAACTCGAAATCTCCTCCTTACTCACGCTGTGTTCAAAATTCAAATAAGAAAGAGACAAAAGAAAAAGCAGATTAAACACTGCGACATGGGAATTCCCTTTTCTGTGATTACATTTCCATGCTGCTTAATTGGAGGCAGGCTAAAAAGAATCAAATAACAAATACTGCAGCTAATAGACTGCTCAAAAAGCTCACAAAAAAACMATTTGTATTTTCTCTCTTGAGACTAGTTTGTGTGGAGCAATGTACGCTGAAGGATACACAGGAAAGGTGCCGAGACTTAAACCTACAGTAAAACATAACTTACTTTGCTYTGTTTTCTGTCCAAGTAAAACTGGTGTTGACTGATTGCCATTACCCAGATGGATTTGATCAGGGAAGTGTTTGCGTACCAGGTTTGCACTACCAGTCCGCTCTGTCCAAAGGTCCTTCTTGACACTGAAATTCTAAAGAGGAGACGAGAAATGCAATGTCACGAGGTGCCTTTGAAGTCTCCAGTCCCAAACACCTTTCTCCTTGCCAGGCCTGTGTTTTCGAGACCTGGAAGCTCAAGGCAAAGCTCTTTAGTGCTGCCCACCAGTCGGTGCTCCTGCCTCTCCTCCCTGGGGCTGTAGGAAGGTCACCTCTCCGCTGCTCCTTACGGCTGTGATCTCCCTTTGGCAGCATCCCTGAATCCAGCACCCACAGCCCTGCCCCATSCCTGCTGGAGGCAGGAGAGGCTCCGTGTCCCGGAGCAAAAAGYAGCCTCCTGGTTCTACGTCAGAACCAGTGCAATAAGGAAACCTCCCTTCTCCGTGAGTTACCCTCAAATGACTAACCCCGGTCTGCGCCAACACTCATCCCACTGGTCTTACCTGCGGGGATCGTGCACTTCCACAGCAAATTTCTTTTCACGGAAATAGAGATTTTCCAGCTGCTTCCATTGAAATAGCTAGGAGAATTGAAGAGGAGAAGCAGAACGCTGTCAAATCACCAGTTTATCTCCCCCAGGTTACATAATTCCGGCAAAYTGCAATTCCTCTAAACCTGTAGCCATTTCAGAGGCTCCGCAGTGACAACAACCGAAAGATCAATAAAATTAAGTGCATAAACACAACCGCATCGGCTGCTCCTCGAGCAAATCCCCATTCTTGCAGGCAACACATTGCAGATAGTGGATTTTGCCTGTGAAAATATCTGCTCTCATCAAGAGGATGTTTAATTTCACTGCTACATGTTCGTATCTCACAGATCTGCCTTGGGAATTGGACTGAGGTCCTTTCAGCTCTCATCAAGTGCAGCCGAGGAAATGAGCCCGCGGCAGCGACACCCCACACCAGTTCTGTGAAAATCACCTTTTTTTTCCGGCAGGACGGGGCTCAGAGGGCTGCAGCCACCAGCAGGTTGTGCAYGGGGCCTCTGCCACCGCCCTGCGAGCGCGGGAGAACTCCAAGGGTCCTGAAAGTTGCACCAAGCTACACGGAGCTGCGCTCCAAACGCTCGCTCTTCAAGTGGCTCATAAATAAAACATAACCCAGTTCATATGTACGTGGGAAAGAAAAAAAAAAAAAAAAAAAAAGGAAAACCGGCACTGCTCTTTCCATGACCTTTCCTGCTGGTTAGACAGACTTTTCCTTTCCAGCGCAGGAATTTATGATTAGATGCTGCTCTACAAGAAAAGCCATTTACCTAGAATAACTAAACCAGCAAATGATTTAAAAAGAAAAGAAAAAAGAAAAAAAGAAAAAAAGCCAGGGAGGTTTGTTTAACTATGCCGCTTAAGTAAACTTAAGTTTATATTGAAAGTCTTGCATGCTGGAAGAGACCTGCCTGATCGGACTGTTTCCCCGAGCGCCCTTTGGGGCGGCCTCAAGTCCCGTTCCCGGGGACTCCGGCACCTGGCGGCCCCGCACGCGGACCGGGCYCCAGGCATCTCCCCCCTCTGCCCGAGTCTCCTGCATCACTTTCACAGTAATCATCTTCACAGCACGGAGACTCACCTGCCCGCCGAGYGCGCTGTTCCGTCCCTCCCTTCCCTGGTTCCCTAATTCCCGAGGCAGAGGTGCAGGCGGGACGGTGCTGAGGAGGGAAGGGGCGACCTGCCACCCATGGCTCCCGCCGCCCGCTCCCGCCGCCCGCTCCCGCCGCCCGCTCCCATGGACGGCGCCCGGCTCCGGTTTCGCCTCCCGCCGCTGACACACGTCTGACATCACCCGCGCTGCCGGTAGCGGCGCCTCCCCGTTCCACCCTTTCCCCCAGAGGAAGGAAACCCGGGAACCACAGGGAAAAAAAAAAAATAAAAGGAAGAAAAAATAGTGTTGAAAAAAAGGGAAAAAACAAGAGCAGTCTGCGACGGGGAGGGGGGAGAGGCTCTGGAGCCTCGGAAGCGTGGCAGGTTTTCCTGCTCATCTGGGAAATGCTTCCTGCAGTCAGGACTGACACCTGTCTGCAGCTACCCTTCTCCCTGAAGATGGATGACTGAGCAGTTTTGGGATAAGTTGTAGACGGGTAATATTCACATACATGCAGTCAGAAATCACCACCACTATGACAAGTATTAAGAAGTTTTTGCCTAACATCTCTGGGTTTTCATCTACAAGTAGAAAAAAAGGTCTCCCCAGTATATACAAGAGGAAAAAATATAATGAATAATCACAGTAAATTAATTGAAGTTCTATGAACTCCTTCAAGTAGTATTTTCTCGATTGTGGTCAAAGGGAAACACTCAGAAAACTGTCTTTACAGGCAGAGCTTTCCTACGCCTTTGAACCCCGGCTAACTGCATAAACACTTTCTAAATCATTCTTCATTTCAATTGCACCTAAATTACATGTGCAGTAAAAGACAAAAGAGTTACAAAAAATATCTGGACACCTGGGACTATTTTTTGAGGGCAGGATGTGCAATTAGGAATAATTAGCATGTTTCTGAGGAAGTTTTGCAATATATATGTTCTCTTTACCCAGATGATTAGGTCCACCTGAGCTAATGAGTGTTTTCTTAATAGACTTCCCATCCATTTAGATTGTCAGATCCTTCAATGTTCATGGAGAACTCCCCAGCCAGCACATGTCCGACCCCACACAGTTCGGCCCGGTCAAGGTTTGCTGGCTGTTTTTCTTGGACAAAGCAGAGGTGCAAAGCCGGCTGATTGTGCCTCATTAATCAGGCACCCCTCTCATTAAGCAGATTTCCACCACCCTGACGCAGCTTTCAAACAAGTCGGGTCCAGGTTTCCCACGTTTTTTTGCCATCCTGTTCTAGATACTGTAAAGCATCAGGCAGGAACATCAGGACCATGCAAGGACAGAATCTGCAACCAAAGCCCTGCAACCTACTGGGACCAGTCTGAAAAAACAAAACCCTCTTCTTCACGTTTTTTCCTTATTCATTACGGTCCTTCCTTGCCAGGTTCTCACTAATGTAGTCCTTAATAGGGTACAGAGATATCACAGCCATGAACAGCCAAATTGCCATGAAACGTGTCTCATTTCTTTCCCCAGATGGGATATTCAAACAACTTTCTGCACATCTGGAAGGAGCTAAATTTCAGAGCAGGCTCGTAGCAGCTCTGTGTTTACTTTAAGTAATTATGCGAGCCTAGTATCTTAAGTCTAAATCACTGGCTTCTACTCGGTGAGAAATAAACATAGTAAAAGAAATCTTTGCATAATTAGATCAGCCTGCTGAGAGCCCCGTACAAACGCTATTGTGCTCGGAACAATTCAGCAAGGCAAGGGAGAAAATTTACATTAAGAAAATGTTCTGCAAGGGAAACTTCCAGCATCTGCATTTAGATGGAGTACGCTGAATTAAAAGAAAGATATAAATATCCATTTCAAAATGAGCATGCTCTAACAAAAACATTTCTGAGAACATAACGTATTCAACACAACCAGCAACGGAGTTGAAATTCTTGCAGATTTGAAACAATACCATAGCAAGATTATTTTTTTCTTTTTAAGACATTATAGATGATTTGTCACCGGGGAGCTGCCTGCAGAAAGACAATGAAGTGTGAGAAAAGGCAAAGCCGGTGGCAGGGCGAGCAACCCGCGGGCCAGGAGCCCCTCCTCGGAGCACCGGGCCCAACGCGGGGCTCGCTTCGCGATGTGTGTCCCACAGCGGGGACAATGCAGTCTTTGTATCCCAGCCCCGAGGAGAACATGGGCAGACAGAAGGGAGGCCTCAGCGGCTGGAAGCGGCACACAAAGCTCTGGCACAGGGAGCTGTTTTGTGCGCCCCTAATYGAGTGGGCTCGAGCCTCCCGGGGCGGCCCGTCCTGCCGCCCGAGTCACCAGCCGCCCCTCGCAGCCCGGGCGAACGTGCTGCTCTGCTCTGGCACATGCACCAAACCAGGCCGGGCTGGTGACCTGTGTGCCCRGGTTGCTCCATCCAGCTCTGCCCCCAAGTCCCTTCCTGGGACAGCCTCTCAAACCTGGACTTCACACTGTCGCCAACAGACAAATCTTAGGATAGCCACTGTGCTCCTAGGCTCCTGTTTAGATCTCTTGGCTTAAAGACCCGGATAAGGCCAGAAGAGTCTGCTTYTTCAGGAGATTGGTTATATTTGTTGGGAATTAATTGATATTACACCAATAGGTGCATGTAATTATTTTTATAAATATATATTTACTCTGAATATGGAGTTAGTCCCTTGCAGCTGCCTGTCACGAGCATCTTGAACAATATTAAAAAAAATGCAGCTGTTTGACAGTCCTGAACATTGCACGTGCGGCAAGAGGCTTYGCACAGAGAAAAGACACCGACTGTGCAGTGTCTCACCTCAAAACTCAGCAGCTTTGCAGCTGCTTTTTTTTTCCCCCCACCTAGAGGACACTCGTGTCTCTCAAATCAGGAAAGCCCGGCTTGTTCCTGCTTAGATTTGGACTCACCCTTTCCCTTCCCTTCAACTAATCAGAGGCACTGAAACATCGCTAGCTGGCAAAGTGGAGCACAGTAAGGATGGATTCCCTTTCCCAGATGCCTCAGGATAAACAGAATAGCACCTTTGATCCACAATGTAAACAGTGGGATGACACTCCCAGATTTGGACAAGCTGTACAGCCTTGCCTCTTTTTATACATTCACAAATATGAACAAACAACAATATTGCTTAAAATAAACTTCTGCCTGCCCTGGCCCAGGCAACAAGACTAGCCTGCATGGACACAAAGAGTAGCGTCTCAGCATCTTTAGTTGCAATCTGAGGCTGTCCATGGTCACCTCTCCACATCCAGCGTTTTCCTTACTCCTGGAAGCCAATTTAATTCCAGTTGCTTCCATAAATCCTGTTAGAAGTGCACTTTGTTTCAAACACCCTCTGTATAAAGGATCTCCTGGCATATTTACCCATGTGTAAAAAGTAGCCAGTGCTCAGAAAAAGTTGAGATGCCTGGGTAATTTTTGTCCCCTCCCATTATTCTCCTATTTTTACCCATAAAAACACTAGGGCCACTCCTATTCTGGATGCTTCTAGCAGTATACTAACATGAAACCTTCCCTCTGCATTGAAGCTCCTCTCCTCCATGTTCCACTTTGATCACTAATCTCAGTTGTATAATTACAACTACAATAAAGCAGGCAGCTATTAGCATCGAAACACTTGGACTGCACAAGTGACCTTTGGAAGCTTTTTAATTTTATCTTTTCGAACACAACCCCCATCGTGTTCCAAGGCGATGCCTCATAAGCAATTGTAGTAGGGCAGGACTTGGTATCTTGGCCCTGTTGACCTATAAAAGGAATTTCTTAATACTCTAGTTGATGTTGTAAACTAAAATCTCACAAGCATAAAATCAGTGCTCGGTGCAGCAACACTCCTAGCCAGGCAGGCTGTATTTTCTTGGAGAAAGTTGCTGGTCACAGCTGGTTTTCTTGACTAGAGAATGATCTGTGTTTGACCCTAATGGAAAATCTTGTAGTTACTGTCTAAATATAGGAAAGTGCTCAGCAGCTGGAGGAGCTGCTTGATACTCTCCCTTAAGGATCAACGACCGAATTAACTGGATCTTCTAGCGCTTCTCTTGTGTCACTGTAATTTTGAAACATGCCTGGTAAGACAGGCCTGGCACTAAATTAAGTGCCTAGTTAAACAAAGCAAGAGAAGGACTTAGAAGTTGAAGCTTGGACACACAGACATATAAATTTACCAAAGGAAATCAAGTCATAGCCTGTTGGGAAAATGAGAACCAGATCAAGTTGGGAGCTTGAAGGAGAATTACTCTTAACAAGGAAGTTTTGCTAAGTGCTTTTTGGCACTAATACACTAAATATTATTTTGCAAATGTAAAATTCCATGGCAGGAAGCACATACTTCATGTGAACTCCTGCCCAAGTCATTCCCAGGATAGGACAGCAACAAAGCCCCTGTTTCCATCTCTTCACAGCTTAAATGTTCTAGCAAAGACATGAGCAAAGGAAACCAAGCACATTCAACCCAACAGTGTTGTTCCTGCACGTGAAGTGCTGGCTCTTCTCCACGACCAAATCTGTTAAGTGACTCTTCAGAATCTTGCAGGGCTTAGTCCTGCCTGAATGAGGCTTATTCAGCTACAGATCTGGATGAGTTCCCAACCCCTCATGAGTCTGGGCTGCATGATGGATTTCCAAGACTGCCTGCAGAAGAGCTTGTTAGGGCTTGCTCACGGATGATTTTCAGGGAGCCAACACTGCAATACAGTATCCTCTGCCCTGTTTTAATGGCAACTGAGGGTTTTGGCAGGGTTTCCTCTGCAGGAGACATGCTGCAGATAAGGTGGATGGACACAGAAAAGAATGGCCTCCAGTCCTCGGCATCCTCCCTCAGCCCCAGCCCTTAAAATGCCATGTATTAAGGAAAAGGAGTTGCCTGAAAAGTCTTGCAGACAGATCTGCTTGTACTTCATGGATATCAGTAGATACTTTCATCATTTCATACCCAAAATACACCTATGAATGCCAACTGAAACACTGCTCAAGTACAAGGCTGTAGTTTGTGATTTGCAGGAACCCAATTGCTTCACACTTTGTAGCTATCCCTGGAGGCTGCCAAAATTCCTGAAAAGACTGTCCTGAAACCACCACACTCAAAGACACATGAACTAAATATCCCAAAAGGAATTTCTGGTATCTAYAAGAGAGGAGGATTTTACTATATTCATGTTAGCTGAATTCTCTTTCTGTCTCTAACTTCCACAGCTGCTCAGACTAATAAGTCATAGTTTACAAATGCATGTTTTAAAACGCAACACCCACCCTCTCCAAAACAAACAAACAAAAAACCCCAAACTTACCTTTCTGGGCTTGACCTTGTCTTGTAAGTCGTACTGGCCTATTCCTTTATAGCTTATCCCAAGCCACCAAGGGATTCCTTGTTTATCCTGAGAAATGAAAGACTACATGAACCAAGATCTAATTCAGAATTAATCAGTTCAGAGATTGCACCTTCCTTCATTCTATGCCAAGTATGAGTAGATCAAACTTTTTTTATTATTAGTTCTTTTTTCTCAAATTGACACAATGTGGATTGCTAAGATGAACACTGAAAATTTCTTCTATTGCTTTCTTGGTCACAGGTAAGAAAAYAGGCAGCGGTTTTGCAAAGATGACTAAAAGCATCAGTGCTGCTGAAAGAAATGGTCATCAATCATTGTTGAACTAATGAGGAGGTAAGAAGATGGGCCAAACAAAGACCTGAGCAAAGGCTCACACCTAAATTCAGGTGTGAGACAGCAGCAGAACAGTTCATGGCACCTACTTCTCAGGGGCTATCGCCATGGTCATGAGTCAAAATAACTAAACCAGCTCTGCTGAGCTCGAAAATGCTTTTGCACAGGCTCTGCTTTGCAACTGGAATAAATGGTGTATTTCCACATGCACACTCACTCACTAATTACCTGCCACTTAGAAACAGTTTTCTCTACTTAGTATTTTTTTTCTCTAGTCTTGATTAGCAATGTCCCTGGAGAAAATATTAAATGCTTACAATTTAGAAGTGATATCCAGTTTAATTAAGTTGATATGAATTTAGCTCCTGATAGGATTACAGAAGGTTTTAGTAAAGATTCCTTTCTGTCATCTGTAGCACATAATTCTTAGCTGCTCTCTGAAAATGTTTCAGTGACAACTGAAAAGGGGGGAAAAAAATCATAAAGGCTAAAAAACATAGGGTTTAATGCTGATAAATAGGTCTTGAATCATGCAACTACTCCTTCAGGAATATAATCACATGCAATAAGCTAAGCAATCACATTATCTACGGACATCTACTAACCTTTACTCCATAGTAATGGACTCCATATGTTGGCAAAGCTTCTACCACTTTCATATACCTGTAGACAGATTTATAGTATATCAGCTGAGATTCTCTGGAGGGAACAACATCTATTAACATATTTTTGTCACATATATGTGAGTCAAGACATTTATCATTTGCATGCTTCCAGTAACTTAATGATTTAAAGGCCCATGTTTTCAGAAAAATCTTGACATCCGGGCCTGGGCAWAGCTGTGACATTTTGGCCCAAATGAAGCGAATGGAAAATTTCCCATACAACAAAAGATTTTCATATTGGAAGTTGGGAGAAGAGAACCAAGAGCAAAACTTTTGAACGTGTGAGCCTTCTGGAGAATACTGGAGGGAAGGAATTGCCTACAGTTATTTCATTATGGTGCTTTGCTTAAGAAGGATATTGTCCCAAGGAAATGTGCAGTTGCACAATGGTTTCATGAAGCAATTCAGTGAATCACTGAGCAGATAATTTATTCTTTGCTCCCTTTGAAAGAAGTTCCTGAATTATATAGAGAAGTGCAACCACTGAGCTATGAGAGAAAAACTGCCAGCTATCTATATCCTACAATCATGTAAATCAGCCCCAACTTCTCGGTTTGTAACATCACACTGCAGATGTCTGTAGGAGTTCAATACAAATAATAATTTAAAAAATAAAAAACATCCTCCATGGGCTCTGTATTCATCCTGGAAGACCTCAGTTACTTGAAAACTAAAATCTGAGCTTTTCAATAAGCATGCATTTCTTTTCCTTCCAGAACTTATATTGATATTCACCCTTAGTATTCAAGAAGAAAACTAACAGCTAGCAAGGAGAGCATGGAGAAGACTCTTCCAATAAACTAAGACCATAATTTTTCATTTTACATCTGAGGTATTTTGAATGAGAAAATACTGCCTTAAACGGATACCTGGAAAATGTGAAGTCTGGAATAATTTATCTTTAAGATACAGTTCAGTAGAATTTCTACAGATATGAATGGTGGAGTTCACAAGCAATAACCACTAAAACAGCACGTACTCCCACTTTCCAACAAAAAGGAAGATAAGGAAAAATACTATTTGCACATATTAATAAGCACCATACTCACTGAACAATGGCTTGTCCTCTGGTCAGGCCTTTAATTTGTGTATAATGTTCAATTACTCTATCCTCACTGCAAAAGAAGCACAGAAAACAATTTAGAAGCTAATGACTTTTCCCGTGTGTGATAGCATTTGCCGAAATTCAGATGCCTGCTCAGCATGCAGAGAAGCGTCTCTGCACATTTCTCACTCCAGTTTACACTCTGTTTCTTAATGATTTGTTTCCCACCCTTCATTAAGCAGAATGGACCTGTCTAATGCTTGGCATAGCGTGCAGCCTTCCAGARCCTAATTAACCATTTCAGAGCAGCCAGCTTTGCTGCAGATGCTGCTGCAGAACACTGGTACTAATTGTATAAATTCATTTTCAGGTTCTAAAGAACCAAGACTTCAAAAGACAGCTAATGCTGCATATATAAGACAAAAGTTGAAACCAAAAGGCTTTCATTCTAGTGTAATTTTTCCCCGACAGACATTTAATAGATGAAGAACTACAGATTTAACAGCAAAATTTTCCTCATATTTTTCCCCTCCAACATTTTGTTCCACTGGAATGTGAAATAAAATATGTGTTTAGTGTCAGACCCTTGGAGACAAAAAAACAACAGCATTTATTTTGAAAAAGCTAGGCATAAGAAAAAGTACTAGCATATTTTAAAATACATTAAGCACCTATCAATCCCCAAAAYGAAACAAAGGAAGGAGTCAAACTTGTACAAAGGGCCATCCAGTAAAAGCAAACAAATTGTTGATTCATCCCAAATGTTGTGCTTCTTATAGCAGATCTGAGCACAAATCTGGACCTGCCCYTTCGTTTTAGAGAATGCACTGTTGGACAGCTGAAGAGTAACATGCTCTTTATTATAAACTCTGGCTTGGCTGGAGTTTAGCATTTGCCTTTTCATTGCTTGCTACCCCCAAATTCTGGCTCAGAAATATCTGACCCGCCAATTCAATGTGATCAAATTTCCAAAAAGGGAATTGCCCTGGATTGGGGTGTCACCATAACCTGCTACAAGTTGCAAATGTTTGAACAGGAGCAATTAACTCCATATCCTACACCACATAGGCAAAAATCTTTTAAAGCAGCTTTCTAAACTCTTACAACCTGAGCTTGCTAAGGTTAGCTACAGCAGATTTACACTTTAAATTAGGTAACAGCTCACCAGTAAGCAAGCGATGGATGCTCCTGCAGTGTCTTCGTGGGAAAGACTGGCAGTGTCTTCAAGTCCTTGCGAGTGTTTTCATCACTAAAACCAAAGATGACACGTAGTTACTGATGCTGAATCACAGACATCATCGTGAGTTTCAATAAAAGGCAAGGTATTTGCTACCCAAGAACACGTTACCTTGCCCCACATCTGGCCATCATAGCGACCTAGAGCTATTGCCCTCACATGACAGTGGCATGGACCTTTTGCGGTAACTCACTGCAGGGAAATGCGACTATCAGGGCAGCGAGGCCACGGCATCGATATTTATTTTGTACTCACTCTGTTTGCTGAGTACAGAGTAAGCCCTGAACAGCTGCAGAAGAGGAGCCTTCGCTCAAAGGCAAGGCTCATACTGCTATTTTTGTTCTATCATTAGTCAAAATCCTTCCTGCCACACAATAAATTTTGTGAAGCAGAGCGGTATTTGTTAGATCTCAAACTTTAAACACAATGAAAAACAAAGTAGTTCAGTTAATATACTTTGAAGTATTTTTACTCATCAGAGTATTCCTGGACTTCTCATTCTACACAAAGTTCAAATATTTTGTGCTCTGATGCCATTAGTCTGGATCCAAAAAAAAAAATAAAAAGTACTAAAAATGGGAATTTGTCTCAAGATTAACAAGAATATTTAAAGCAGCTTTTTATAGACATCAATAAATGGTTAATATTTTCTCTTCATATACTTCATTAATTAATCAGCTGAAACTTGCACGCTTCACTTCTGCAAGATTTCTGCGTGCCTTCACAGCGCTGGGAACAGGCACCAACATGACTTTTCTAGGTAAARAACACATCAAATCCGTTAATATCCGCCCTGGCTTCTGGATCCAGGCTTTCCTTGAAGGTTTTCCTGCTATGAAGCTGCTTTCTGGTGCAAATCCAGCACTGCAGATTTCTTCTAGGATCAGTTCCCGCTCCAACCTCCAAAGCGCCTTGGCACGAGCACCCTGGGCATCAGGGCATTAGATCCATGAGCAGAGGTAGGCRGCCAAGGCAGCCGAGGTGGCAGTAGAAGGACACAGGGCCACTGAAATGCTTCCATCTCAGCACTCAGGGCAGATGTCCCATGGAGGACGCTCAGTTTAAGCTCTTGGTTCCTCCAGAGAAGGTGGCTAATAGCTCTGCAAGCCTCTCCCCCCAGCCCCACAATAAGCCTCAGCCCTGGCCAAGAGGGACCACCTCTGGGGACCAGGAAACAGTTCAATCAAGGGCCCATTTATCCTCCAGCGTCTTTGATGAAGCTGCCAAGAGGGGGTCAATTAGCGAGGCCTGGCTGCTGTTGCTGAGCGTGGCAAGGGCAGCTCTGCCCTGCCAGGAGCCGCCCGCCTGCGCGAGCTGGCCCGCGACCAGTGGCCAGCGCGGGGACAGCGGCGCAGAAAACCAGGCTCTCCCCTCGCAACGCAGCCCTGCAGCGAGCACAAAASCCGAGGGGTTTGGCATTCGCCCCTTGAAAACCCCACCGAGGGGATGAAAAGGCCGTGTGGCAWCCCGGCTTCCAGCGGGAAGGTAGATTGCCTTGCTGCAAGGAAGCCTGAAAACGCCCAGCGAGCACGTGGAAGGGCAACGGAGTCCTGCGAAACGAATCCCAAAGCCCTCAGCCCTGCTCTGCTGCGTGAGGCAGGAGCTTGCACCAGACACCTGGTGAGGCCCCTGCCACTTCAGTCATCGAGTGGCAGGATAATTCATTATCCAAATAAAAGATTCCTCCTCGTTTTCAGTCTGATGCATAACTGCAGTGGCTGTTTGAATGWTCGGAGTTGGCAGAGAAATGTAGGGAAGAAATTAAAAGGTTTTGGAATGAAGCAATAACAAAAAAAGCTCAGTTTTACCAAACAAAAGAGCTATTCCTCTAAATATAGACTCTAACCCACGACATTCATCAGCACAAGTTTAATAGCCGCACTCTGAAGCCCTGTGTAGAAACCTTACTGCCAATGAACAATGCAACGTGCCAGCATGGGCTGGAGGAGGCCTGGAGCACCACGGGGAGGCCTGGAGCACCACGGGGAGGGCCTGGAGCCAGAGGGGGCTCTGGCAGAGGCAGCTGCCCCCTGTCCATGATGTCCCCTCCCCTGCCCAAGGGCGGCAGTGGCCCCGAAGGGCAGCAGTGGCTGCCCACTCCACTGGCTCCAGGCAGCCACCTCACCAGCTTCCCCTGGTGACATCTAGGGCTGCAATCACTCCCATGCCACGACTTCAAGCCAGTCCCACCATTGCCTTTCACAGGATGCGGGTTTCCTACCAGCCTCTTGTGGAATCGAAGCACTGACCTAGAACAGCAGGTTCTGGGGCGGCTCTTTGTCAGCCAAGCCCACAGAGCTGTGACGACTCACAGCAGGGCTGCACCTTCTCTGCTCTTCTGCCAGCCTACCCACCCRCCCAACTCCCTCTAACAACAGAGGACATTTTTCTTTCAAAAGACAAAGAAGACTCAACCTCATATCCTGCCTCTCATCCTGTCAACCTGCAACTCTGTACCGGAGGRAGCACTGCTCCCAGCCAAAATGGGCAATTACAGGCAAGGTCTGAAGGTCTCCACCTGGCCGTATGAGMATTTAATCTTTTCCTATGTAATCATAAGATTGTGTGCGACACAGACTAAGGAAAATTTTGTCAAACACTTGAGAGAAACAGGGCATAGCCCCGTACAGACCAAATGCCTTCTGCTAAAGGCAGCAGTCCGGCCCTCAGCAGCACAGACCTGTCTGCAGGTCAATCCTTGGGATGCTTCACGGCTTCGCGGGCAATAGAAGCATCCAATGGTCCTCTTCCCCCTTCAGCAGCGTTCATTATCACTTCATCTGCACAGAGGAGCAAGAGCAGTTCCCCCGACCCTGGGGCTCACTTTTCCCAAGCCCTCAGAGACCCGACTCTCCCCTGAGGTGACAGGTCCAAATGGCAGCAACAACCTTTTGAATTACGACCTGTTCCTGTTTGCTTACACAGCGACCACGAGCCGATACAGAAACACAAGGCAGGCGCCCCTAGCTCGAGATATTCCACTGCCTGGGCCCTGTCTCCGCTATCTTCCGAGCAAAGCCGCACGTGCTGTGTTGGGTAGGAGCAGGAGAACAAAAGCCTGTTCTCATCAGAGCAGACGTGCCCTTCAGCTGCCAGGCCTGGGGCCCGCTTGCGTTTCATCTGACCCCGGTACGCAGGGGCTTCTCGCCGGCTGGTTCCTGGCACCCGCCCAGCACATAAACTGCCCAGAGTCAACAGGGCTGAACATTTTTGGCAAAAAGTGTGTTTACTTCCCAGGAGGAGAATATAAGAAAACACTCATCTGAAGTATTTTTCCACTATGGAGAGGAGCTAAAGAAAATGAGTGCATAGACCCTTTCATTTCCATTCCACTCTTTCACCTGGGATTTTTCTCCACAGCAGATATTTCACTGAACTTTAACTGATCTGGGCAAAGTAAATAAAAATCTTTTTCAGATGCTCATCACGTAGAATTTTAGCTTGTGTTCTTGGTACTGTCTATATTTAATTTTCTGTCACAATCTGAATAAACCTAGGGCAAGACACTGTCCCCCCGCCAGCTCAGCAGTCCCAGAGGGGCTAATCTACAAAGACTGAAGGGCAGCTTGTCTTTAAAATAACTAACAGCAATATTTAAACACGTATCATAAAATGAATATAAATTCTCACAAGCTACCAGCTCTAGCAGCAAACTAGTACCAAACCTGCATCCTTCTCACATCTCAACGAAGCTCTCAAAGTTGTCGGGGTCTAGGGAAAGATTATTTTTTCTTTTGTTACTAACAACAAGAAATCTGTACAGAAAGTGAATCTTCACAGCTTGTAACTGCACCGTGCACTGCTCCTGCTAGCTAGGTTTGCAGAGGTGACAGAGTATTGCTAATTAGAGCCATTTGCAATGAATGCCCAGGCTCTTCCTTGTGCCCATTATGTCAAAAAAGCAGCCTATGCTTGTTGCAAACGCAGTAACTCCAGGTAAGAGCTTCCATGTAATAAGACGTAGTTAATGAGATTAGCATGAACCGTGAGGAGCAACAGACACACCCCAGCAGCAGAAAGAAATGCTTGACTCCAGTATCAAAGCTTCTCACCCGCATCTTTGTGAGTATTAACTACTTGATAAGGACAGGACTCAGAGGACTTTACCTAACTGAAGGGATGGCAGCTGAGTCTCYATCACTGCTGGACTGTTCAGGCAGTGTTTTACAAGGTGAGATTTTATCACTGGGCAAGTTCACTGTATAGTGATTTTTCTCTAATCTTGGGGCTTCTTGTCTGTTCATAATTACCTATTCATGTTGTTGGGTAATGGTTAGAATAAAGTGAGCACTGGACTTTTCTAAGTGTGACCACTTTATGTTCACAGGTTATCTGTGTAATAATTTTAGGCACACAACAAGCAAAATTTAGAGTGCTCTTGTCTTAAGAAAATATTGACCAACCTCTCAAGTTACAGTGAAAGGTATTTTTCACAGACACCACAAATCAACAGTCACTTTAGAGAACCACGTGTGAGAGGCAAAAGGAACATGGAGCTTCACATCTCAAGCAGGGTTTAGCATTAAAACACCTCATGAAAAGATGCTACAAAATCTTTCCATTGAGCTCTGTTGCCTTATTCTGTGGCAGATGTTCACCGTGAGAAGGAAATGAACAAATAACAAAACCAGTGCACAGACAAACCAGCTGCTTGGAATCCAACCACCTAGTTTCTCAGAGGGCCGGTCAAAGTACTTGGTCAATGCCAGTATTGGCCTCGGTCCTTCATAACCACCTCTGCACTCGCTCACTGGAGCAATAGTGGCTGGACTCCCCCGGCAGTGGGTGCTTTTCCTGCAGAGTTTTGTTTTGTTTTTAAAGAAACGTCAGCGCAGAGCAGGCTACTGCACCCACTTAGAAGCTGGTCTCGCTCTTCAAGGTCCTACAAGAAGCAGATGTTAGGAGGAAGCAGCAAAGCAGTAGAGGGGAAAATGAGTGGGGTTAAAAGTGTAAGGAAAGAAAAGAAGGAAGACAGAACGAGGAAGGTAAAGAAGGAGAAAGTGGATTGATTT